ATATAGGACTAGGTGCTTTATTGCTTTGCTAAAGGTCATATCTGATTGCATCTGTTTTCCAATTGTGATTATTGAGGAGCACTTTCTATACCATTGCTACATCATAAGATACCTCGATTTTCTGAATAATTTTCATCCCTCATTTTTCTGACATGTGAGGGCCCAATACTGTCTGAAGCCAGCTGATGTGACGATTTGTTGGTGGCTGCTGATTTCTATCATAAAGGTTCTTAGCAAGTATGTGTTCTTAAGAAAAACAAATCATTTTCATTGAACTATTGTAATATGAGGTCTAACTATTCCCTCTACTCCCTCAAGTATTTTCTTTCCCCAGCTTTGAGCAAATCCTTCACCTGGATACACTAGTGAGTTCCCATCTAAAGACTCAAAAGTGAGCTTCTGCAGAAGACTGGACTGCCTTCTCCAAGCTGGCTCCCATCTCTGCAGTAATTTTCTCTGTGCACTGTAACTACTTTGACCCTCCTGAACACCCAACTCTGGATCAGCTTAACTTAAGGAAACCCCCAGGCTCCGCCTAAGTTACCCTAGTCCACTCCAAGACCTTGAAGTGTTCACTGGGTGATGGGTGGAGGCAAGAGCCATCAAGGGTGCATCTCTTTTTCTCCCTCTCAGGAATCATCATCCTGCATTGTCTGAGGTCCAATAACTCTTCACACATTTTGTCCATTTCTTTAGTTGTTTCAGGATGGAAGGTAAATCCAGCTCCTGCTACTCTGTTTTGGCCAGAGGAGCACATAAATAGAGGGACCTTGTAGCTGTGATGAGTTTATAGAACTGGGTACTAGCTCTGCACTTCTTTTACTTAAAAATAGAAATGCCAAATTTAAGAATATATCAGCTAGGGGCTGGGAATTTAGCTCAGCGGCAAAAGCGCCTGCCTGGCAAGCGCAAGGTCGTGAGTTCGGTTCCCAGTACCAGAGAAAAACAAAAAAAAGAAAAAAAAAAGAATATATCAGCTACATCTGCTTGTTACTCCTCAGAAATACTGCACTGTATGTATGTTCTCCTTATGGGACTTCATTTTGATACTTCCTACAGGACTGACAACTGGTGGTCAATTTATAACCCCCAGCTGAACTGAGGAAGCAAGGTGGTGGGTGTGGGATACCCACCTGGGGATTGTTGCCAGCAGCATAAGAGGCAGAACTGGAGAAGGAGAAAAAGGCTGTTGGGAGCTGAGAGGCTGTTGGGAACTGATAGAAGCTTTAAGGAGCTGTTAACTGTTTTGGAGGAGCTTGTCATGCTGGCTTTCCTGATGAACCCGGCTGCTTTCATCCTCGAGGAGCTCGGGACCTTGTTGGCACTGAGAATGGCTTTAATTCACTTTGGGTGAGCTCTTGTCCTCACTTTGAGCATCGCTTCCTGGCTCCAGAGGAGAAGATGATGCACTGCTGGTTTCCTGGAGAAGCTTGCTGCTTTGGCTTCCCTGATGGGAACTTGGCCATCTTGATCATTGGAGGTGCTCGGGACCTCACTGTTGCTGAGGATGGCTGTGGTACCTTTCGGGGGAGCTCTGGTTCTTCTGAGCGTCGCTTCCTGGCTGCAGTGCAGATCTCTCAGCCTGGTAGCACGGATTCTTCATCCCGCTGGCACAGACTTCCTAGATTTCACCACTGACCTTTGGGCCTTCGCAGCGCAGATCCATGAAACAGGCCTGCATAAGATATTGTTATGGGCTCTGAGCCTCCAGCTGGACTTGTGGGAGGCACTGTTATGAGCGCTAGGTCTTCAGCTGGACTCATGCAGGACATTTCCATAGCATCCAGGCCCTCAGGTAGTTTCCTTGGTCTTAATGTGTGGACAGGTTTCCTGCACTGTTTTGTATATCATTCTTTGGGTGACTATTATAAATAATCTTATAAAATATATATCCTCTATATTATTTTTCTCCTTGTAAAAATTACCCCCAAACCAACACACTGTCCTTCCTAGTGCCCACTGCTTTTAAAGCAGTTTGAAAAACTGCTGTGGCCTTTTATGACTATATAAAGTAGAATAAAATAGTAAAATACTTGATAGCTTAGAAAAAGAACATATCGGCTACAGTTGTTCATTATGTAAACCAATGCAACTGTGAATTGATATAGAAAAGACTGTGCAATATACTTTTAAAAGCAGCTGTCTGATATAATTCTTTGCTTAATTAAAACCAAAACTTATCACATTAAATGGTATTTTTCATCAAAACAAAATTAGACCTAATTAACATTCTGTTTTCTCCCTTTTGGAATTTTGAGACATATAGTAACTGAGTAAGTAAATATAACTAGGAGATTATTATTATTATTATTATTATCTCTATTAACACTATAGACAGTTTAAAACAAAGGAGATCAGTTCTTTCCAGTGTTTAATCAATGTGCAACAGCAGAATATTCAAATGTTATCTATCTTTGCAAATATCTCCTAAATAACAGAATAAATGTCAGGATTGCTCAGAATTTGATTATGGATGAGTATCTAAGACGTTATTTCTGTTCTTCCTGTTTCATTATTGTACCCAACCAAAAACAGCAAAGATAACAAGAGGCAAGATAAGTCATAACCTTCTCATCTTACTGCTTGTTACCAACTTTGACTATGACAGAAGGCACACAACTACGGATTAAGCAGGTCTGAAGATTATTAGCACATTTGATTTCTCTGGTAAAGAAATCCATTCATTTTCCTCTTAAATTCAATAAATTAACCAGAAGCAAGTAAAGGTTTATTGTATGACATTTGGGGTTTGATTTATAGACATTTTTAAGAGTAAAACACTTAATGACTCTTCACTTCTTTATTGGATTAATGTGGAACTAACGTATTGATTCACTGTAAAATTTAGAAAAAGAAAGAATAAAGCAGGAAAGCCTGTAATTAACCCTGAAGTCTTTTTCTAAGCATATAATTTTCTTTACTCAGTGAAGATCATACTAAAGCATTATATTTTATTATTCCCTTACAAGACCTTCTTCCAGATTTGCTTTAAAATAAAAATCATTTGAACCCATGCACTTTCTAAAACAAATATGCATAGAAAAGTTTTCTTTAACTTGCTTACAAGCATCCAGTACTTTTTGCCATGGGCCAGCCCACCTCAGATATAGGATGTACAGGTTTTATGGTAGAGAAGGGCACTTCCCCTAAAGAGGCACCATTCGCACTGTAGAAGTTATAATTTTGTATATGATGATAGTTTTTAGAAAAAAATAACTTTTTCTAAAAATTGATGTATTGTGACAACTAGAAATAAACTGTTTTGGAGCCAGGTGTGGTGACACACACCTATAATCCCAGCACTTGGAGGCAGGAGGTGGAGGAGGGAGGATCGCCTCAAGCTCCAGGCCAGCCTGGGCTACATAATGAATTCAAGCCCAGCCTGATCTGCATAGGGAGACTCTGTCTCAAAAAAAAAAAAAAAAAAAAAAAAAAAAAGAACAAAAAATCCAAGAAGTCAACTGTTTTGAAGGGGAAAAAAAAACCACTTATCTAACTCACATGAAGGAAATATATGGTAGCCCTGCCAACACCAAAAATAAGAGAGAGTGATTTTCTGCATAAAAATAAGTCAAATTTGTCTTACTAAGAAAAAATGCTACTGGATTCAGAACTCATTCAGGCATGTCTAAACTTTTAGCTTGCTTGGGAAGCACTGAGGAAGGAAGAATTGTCCTAGGCTGCATATTAGACAGATAGATCTCAAAAATTCCTTGTTTATATTTGTCATTACAACATTTTTTTAAAGAAATCAAACAGCTTTCAAGGCAATATGTTAGTTCCACATTAAGCCAATAAAGAAGTGAGGAGTAATTGTGAGTTTTACTCTGAAAAACTATAAATCAAAACCAAAATGTCATACAGTGTTACTGCATAAAAGAAAGATCAAAAGCTACCCAAATACCTTCAGTAATTTTGTTTTAGAGAAACAGAAAACTTTCTATTGTACTCCTCTTTTGAAAAACATTGAGTGTGGAAACCACATTGAATAACATTTATAGTTTCCCTTAATAACCATATGCAGTCAAGATATTGCAAAAAAGGCAGCAGAAAGAGAATGAAGTAATAAAACAAGGGCCAAATACAAATAGCTGAAAGGAAAAATATTAGGTGAAGAAAAGACCAGGAAAGGATTGTACTTAGGAGAACAGAGAATGCAGGAACAGACTCTGAGAACTATAACTCCTTTGTGATGATTTAAACATCACCACCAAAAGTGTCTAAATCCTTCCTGTGTGAAATGAATGTAAAAACAGAAGTACCATTGGCTGAAAAGTTGGCATCTTCTCATCGCAATCATAGGGTAACATCTTTGCTCTAAACACAACCAATACTCTAAAGTTGGTAAGGAAAAGTTATTTTGATTCAAATACAGAAACCATAGAATCCAACTACTTAATATTTTTACTGCTATGTTGATAAAACATGAAAATAGAGTGACATTGTAGAGTGAAATCACCATTTGCCTTACCAAGTAAGATGAGTAATAATATAAAACTTCAAACCATGTTAAGAATAAACTTCTATTGAATGAATACATTTGGGTGGCAGACTATATCCTTTTCTTTCAAATAAACACTACAGCTGCGCATCCTCAGATACTCCAAAATGGAGATAGTTTTCACAAGAGGTAATGAGGCCTTGGAAAGACTTATTAAGGGTTTTTAATGGTAAACAAACTCACCAACTTAAAATCTTCACCTTGTGGCTTTGAATTCGGTGGCAAAGAATAAGAATGCCAATGTTTTTTTGCCTTCTAAAGAGTACATGTCCTACTTGAGAGCTTCCTTTGAAATATACTTAGTATTATTTATGTCAGATCTTTAGTGCCTGTCTTATCTGCTCTGGTTCCTTCAAGTTAATCAGTGCTCTATCCTTAAAAAAGAAAGCACTAAATCCAACTCTGCCAGATGCACAATTCATGCAAGAAAAATATAATGAAAAGATAATAATGTATCCTCATATCTTCAAGAGAATGAAAGAAAATAAATCTAACATACCAATAGTTTCTAATGAGTTTGCAGAATGAAGAGGATCTATTATGCTAAGGGCGATGGTAAAGAATATGCAACATTGCAAATCCCACGAGCGTTCATTGAATCTCATTACCACATATCCAGTCAAGACAAGTTCAGCAAAAATGCTAATCAATCCAGTTAACGAGATCTGCAAACCAATTCATAACATGGCTTAGATTTAACATCCGATGATAGCATGACTGCATTTACTTGCATCCTAAGAATCAGATCTTGGTTATATTGTTTAACTGACACATAAAAATTACACATATTTATGAAGTACAAAGTATACTATATGTAATGATCAAATCAGGGTAATTAGTGTATCATCTCAAAATTTTTTTTTGCACTGGAAACACAAAATTTTCTCTTCCAGCTATTTTGAAATATTGTATAAAATAAATTATTCATAACTACAGTTATCCCTCTGTGCTGGAGTCTAATCCTCCTAGCTAACTGTATTTTTGTTCCCATTAACCAACATTTTCATTAATCCCTCTCTGAGTTTTTTCTCCCAATCTCTGGGAATCACTATTCTGTTCTCTACATCTATGAAATCAAATTTTTTTATTTCCATTGCAACTTTATTTCATTCTTTTCTCATTTTTTTCTTTTCTCATTTGAACATTTTCTTCCTATTTCACAATATCTAGTATACACTTTGGTCTGTATTTACATTTTTAGTTCCTCACACCAGAGAAACAATGCAGTATTTTTACACATGTGTGTCCAATTTATTTCACTTAAAAGTATGTTCCCAAGGTGCATCCATTTATCTAGAAATGTCTCCAAGATTACCCTTCTTTTTTTTTTTTTTTTTTTTTTTGGTTTTTCTGTGGTACCGGGAACCGAACTCACGACCTTGCGCTTGCCAGGCAGGCGTTTTTGCCACTGAGCTAAATCCCCAGCCCCCCTTCTTTTTTTTTAATTTTAAAAATAAAAGGAGGAAAACATTAACAGACAGACAATATTTTACAAAATAGCAAAAGAACAGTACAGACAATACAGAGTTACAAACAAAGTGGTAGGAAATTAACAATGCTTGTTGTATTGCTTATTGATATCTTCAAAGTGGTTTCTCATGAAAACAGATAGAGACATGCAATATTGATCAATCAAGGACTCATTGACAGTTTCTATAGAAGACAGTAGAACAACTATGTTAACTATCCTGTATACACATACATACAAAATTTCTCCTTCTTTCCCTTCTCTTTTCCCACATCCCAGTTGCCCTTTACCCTTGAGTGTTTTCCTATCATTTCACAATGTCTATCATACAAGATTACCCTTCTTTATGACAGAGTAATACTCCATTATATAAAAGAACCACATCTTCTTGATTCATTCATTGGTTGATGAGCATTTGGGCTGCTTCCAAGATTTAGCTATTATAAATTGTGCTGCTATAAACATGGGTGTGCATGTATTGCCCTGATATGGTGTTTTGAATTGTTTTGGGAAGATACCAAGAAGGGGAATAGCTGGGTCAAATGGAACCTCTAGTCTTAGTTTTTTGAGGAATCTCCACACAGATTTCCACAGTGGCTGCGCCAGTCTGCACTCCCACCGGCAGTGCAAAAGGGTTCATTTTTCCCCTCAGCCCTGCCAGCATTTGTTATTGGTTGATTTCTTGGGAATAGCCATTCTTTCTGGAGTGAGATGAAAGCTCAGCATTTCTCAAATGACAAGTGCTGTTGAACATTTTTTCATACGTTAATTTGCTGTTTCTACTTCATCTGACAAGTGTGTATTTATTTCAAATGGCCATCTTTAAATTTGGAAGGGTCTGATTTTTTTGAGTTCTTCATAGGTTCTAGACAGTAGGCCTTTGTCTGTGGAACAGTTGGTGAAACTTTTTCCTGCAGCGTGACATGATGGTACACACTCCTATAATCCCAGCACTCAGGAGGCTGAGGCAGGAGAATTGCCACAAGTTCAAGGTCAGCCTGGGCTACATAATAAGCTCAAGGCCAGTCTGGACTACAGAGTAAGACCCTGTTTCAAAAAAAACAAAAAAAATTTTTTTTTTAAATTTTCCCACACTGTGGGTTGTCTCTTCACTCTGTTGTTTTCTCTTACTTTGCAAAAGCATTTTAATGAGATGAGATCCCAGTTGTTGATTCTTTTTATTTATTTTTTTATTTTTTTGTTTTTTTCTGGTACCGGGAATCGAACTCATGCCCAGGCAGGCCCACCGTGCTGCTGAGCTAAATCCTCAGCCCCCTAGTTGTTGATTCGTTGAAGTATTTCCCATGCAGTTTGATTTTTGCTCATGAACTCTCTGCCTACCCCTGTCTCTTCAAGATTTCTACCTACTTTCTCTTCCAGGAGATTTAGTGTTTCTGTTTTAATATTTAGACCTTTGATCCATTTCAATTTTAGTTCAGTGCATAGTGAAATATATGGATCTAATTTTAATCTTTAGCATGTGGAACAAGCCAGTCTTTCTATCACCATTTATTAAAGAGGCTGTCTTTCTTCCAGTAAATGCATTTGGCTCCTTTGTCAAAGATAAAGTGACTGCGTACGTCTGGAGTTGTTTCTGCATCTTCTAATTTGTTCCGTTGATCCTTGGGTCTGATTTTTTTTTTTTTTTTTTTTTGCCTGTAACATATTTTTATCACAGTAACTTTGTAGTACAGTTTTAAGTCAGAGATTGTAATGCCCCTTGCTTTGCCTTTGTTGCCCATAACTATTTTTGCTATTCTAGGTCTGTTCTGGTTCCAAATGAATTTTAGGACTGTTTTCTCTAGTTCTGTGAGAGATGCTGTTGGAATGTTAATGAGGATTGCATTAAATCTGTAAAACAGTTTTGGGAGTATGGCCATTTTTTCACTATATTGGTGCTTCCTACCCAAGGGCAAGGGATATCTTTCCATTTTCTAATATCTTCTTCAATCTCATTTTTCAGAGTTCTGTAGTTTTCAATGTAGAGGTCTTTTACTTTCTTCATTAGATGGATTCCTAAGTATCCCACTTTTTATGCTATTGTGAAAGGTGTTGTTTCCCTAATTTCTCTCTCAGTAAGCTTATTATTCATGTACAAAAGGTTATTGATTTTTGAGTGTTGACTTTGTATCCAGCCATGCTACTGAATTTGTTTACTAAATCTAGAAGTCTTTTGGTGGAATTTTTGGAGTTTTCTAGGTAAAGTATCATATTATCTGCAAATAATAATAATTTAACTTCTTCCTTTTCTATCCTTATTCCTTTTATTTTCTTCTCTTGTCTAATTGCTCTGGCTAGTGTTTCCAGAACTATATTGGATATGAGTGTTGACAGTGGACATCCTTGTGTTGTTCCGGATCTTAGAGTGAAAGCTTTCAGTTTTTGCTCATTTAGTATGATGGCTGTTGATTTGTCATAGGTGACTTTTATCAGATTGAGGTGAAGGCCATCTACTTGAATTTTCTGTAGGGTTTTTAATCATGAATGGGTGTTGGACTTCATCAAATTCTTTTTCTGCATCTACTGAAATAATCGTATGGTTTTTGTCCTTGGCTCTGTTAATATAGTGTATTACATTTATTGATTTGTGTATGTTGAACCATCCCTTCATTCCTGGGGTGAATACTACTTGGTCATGGTGTATAATCTTCTTGATGTTCTGCAACATTCTGTTTTCCAACAAGGTCAACTTTTTTAACTTCCACATATAAATAAGAACATGTGATATTCATCTTTCAGTGCCTGGCTTATTTCATTTAATATAATTTCCTCCAGTCCCATCTAGGTTGCTGCAAGTGATAGGATTTCATTTTTTTTATCCTGGAAAAAAGAAAGAAATGCTAAAATATTGTGTACATATACTACATTCCATCCGTACCTTGGCAAATGCAGACACTTATTCAGCATACTGATTTCTTTGCCTTGGACACTGCTGTATAATATTCTATTTTTATTCTTTCAGGAACCTCCATATTGTTTTCAATTATGGCTGTGCAATACACATTCCCACCAACAGTATATAAGACTTCTGCTTTCTCCATTCTCATCAGTATTTGTTAATTTTGTCTTTTTGATGATAACCATTCTAACTAGAGTGAAATCACATCTCACTGTGATTTTGATTTGCACTTCCCTAACGATTAGTGATGAGGAACACGTTTTCCTATTCTTGCTGGTAATTTGCATATTTTCTTTGGAGAACTACCTATTCAGATTATTTGCCCATTTTTAATTTAATGATTTGAGGATTTTGCCACTTAATTGAGTTCAATAGTGTAAGTAGTAATTCCTTGTTGGATGAATAGTCTACAAATATTTTCTCCCATCCTGTAGGTTGTCTCTTCACTTTACTGACTGTTTTCTTTGCTGTGAAGAAGTTTTCCATTTGATATGATTCCATAGTTTTTCATTCCATTTGTCCAATTTTGTTTATGTTGTTTGTGCTTTTGCGGTCTTATCCTTGTCCATCTCAGTGTTCTGAGTCATTTTTCTCTTGGTTTTTTTCAGTAGTTTCATAGTATCAGGTCTTAAATTAAATCTTTGACTATTTTGAGGCTGTTTTAATGCCAAGATAGGTATTTTTTTTTCCAGATAGGAATTTAATTTCATTATTCTGTACATGAATACCCAGTCTCCCCAGCACCATCTTATTGAAGAGAACAGTCCTTTCTCTAGTGAATGTTTTCAGTGCCTGTCTTAGTTACTTTTCTCTCATTGATGAGACAAAATACCTGGCACCCAAAATTAAGGGAAGAAAGGTTTATTTATCTCACAATTTGCACAGGTTTCAGTCCATAATTAGCTGGCTCGAAGGCAGGCTGGTGTAGCAGGGGGTCAACTATTCATGGCAGGAAAGACAACAAAAGTAACAAAAGCAAAAGGAAGGGGCAAACCTCCTTTCCTCCCTTATATTGTATGTAGGCTACCCACCCTAGGGTGGTTGTAGCACTCACACCCCCAATACCAGCACTTAGACAATGAACAAATTCTAGATTCAGCAGACTCTGAAAAGCCCTCCCCCTGTGACCATCTGAGGTTTGCAGGGACATCCAGATACAAACCATAACAGTGCCTTTGTCCAAAAATTACTTGATGGTAAATATTTGGATTTGTCCCTGGGATTTCTGTTCCATTGATCTGTGTCTATTTTTATGCCAGTACTATACTGTTTTGGTTAACTTTGTAGTATGTTTTGAAGTCAATACTTCCAGCTCCCCCTACTCCACAATTGTTTTGGCTATTCAGGTGCCTTTGGGCTTCTATAAAAATTTTGGATTTTTTTTCTATTTCTTTGAAGAATACATTTCAAATTTTGATAGAGATTCCATTGAATCTGTTGATCACTTTGAGTAATATGACCATATTAATAATATTAATTCTCTCAATCCATGAACATGGGATATCTTTCCTTTGTGTGTGTCTTCAATCAGTGTTTTCAGTGTAGAGATTTTTTACCTCCGTGGTTAAATTTATTCATAGGGGATTTTTGTTATTGTTTGTTTTATTTGGTAGCTATTGCAAAAAGATTACTTTCTTTCCTTTACCCAGCTAGTTCATTATTGGTGTATAGAAATCCAACTGACTTTTGCATGTTGATATTTTTACCCTGTAACTTTACTGAATTTATCAGTTCTAACAGTTTTTGGTAGAGACTTTAGGTTTATCTACATATAAGAGTATGTTGTCTACAAACAGAGAAAATTTGACTACCTCTTTTTTATCTGGATATCTTTCATTTCTTTCTTGCCTGAGTGTTCTGGTTAGGTCTATGTGAGTTATACATCAAATACAATTATTCTAGAAGATAACTTCTAAGTCTATTTTTAATCACACCAATGTACTAAAACTAGTTTTTAAAAGCAAAAACAAAAAAATAAAATAAAATAAAAACAAAAGCAGGATTTTCAAGTTGGATAAAATAAAAATCCAAATATAAACTATCAAAAATATACCTAACCAAAAAATAAATAAAACTATTCTCTTAAATATATATATATATATATATACCTAACCAGAAGAACAACAAAATCTTGAAAAATAAAAGGATGAAACAATTTTTGTTGCCAACTTAACCAAAATAACACTAGTGCAGCTATAATAATACCAGGTAAAATTGATTTAAGGCAAAAAAATATTAATTCAAATACAAGAGTAATTAGAAAATGAGAAAAAATTAACTGTGAAAATAACACTGATAGGTGCTTAGTAATAACATATTTATATAAAGTAAAATCTGACAGAATTGCAAGAAAAATTAATAAATCCACAGACATAGTGGAAAACTGCTAGACTGAGCTAAAAAACAATAGTGGCAAAAGACTTAGAAGACTGAATTTCAGAGTTAACTAAACAATTCACTGAACAAATTTAGAGCTCTATATTTAGCAATTAAAGATATACATTTTTGTAAAGCAAACACAACTTTTGGGAAATTTTATTATGTATCAGTCTATGAAGCAAATCTCAATAAATCACAAGACTTATACAATCACATTCTCTGATCATAATCTGATGAAATAATAAATTATCACTATATTTGAAATTTTTCAAACAACTTCTAAATAATTGACTAAAAGAAAAAGTATAATAAAATTTAGAGTTGAATGATAATAACCACTAAAAAAAAAAAATTAAAACCTTAAATACACAAAATACCCAGAAAAGCTAATAAATCAATGAATATTAACTGTAGGTGTTAGAAAGAACAGAATAAAGCCAAAGCAAGTAAAATGTTCTCTGAAAAAAACAAGAGTCCAACAAGTACAATTAAGAGTGAAAAAGCATAAATAAAACAAACTTGGTGAAAACAGACAAAGCTACATGTATAGTGGAGAAGAAGTTCTGCATGGAAACCAGAATCTAGGTTCTGACATGTGTCAATCTTGTTTGTGATTTCTGGGCTTCAGTTTGTTCATTTGCAAAGTGGAGATGATATTTACTCAATATCTAATAATAGTTCTTCCCCCTCTCCTCAATCATTCTTTAAAACAAAGAGCATAAAACAGCCAAAAATGTAAGATTTATGAATAATTAATCTTCTATATAAAGTCATATTTTCTGTCAACATGAATAAACAAGCAGTGACTGTAATTTATTTTAAAATGTGTTCTTACCTGCCAAAACACATTCTTGAGTATATAAAAGTCCAAACCCAGTGATGCCATAAATGTAAATAAAGGTATAAAATAACAATAAAGTGAAAAACTTGGTGTTCGTAGTAGAGGGTAAACAACTTGATGGACCTACAACAGCAAAGGTAAACAGGAAATTCATTACTGCCATTTTCACATAATAGAAATGAAGTCAATGCTATGTCAATCGAGGTAAATTTTAGGATATTCTGATTTGTAACTAATGAGAGATTATCTACAAGGTCAGCCTGGAGTCCTGTGATAGATTTATTGGTCTAACTGTTCAAAAGGATAATAGTACAGTTCTATTCACTGAAGAATTGTGCAGTTTTTTGCCACATAAACATTACTTGTAGCATATAATTAGTATTTTCATAAATAATACTCCTACCACTGATGAAACTTGAGATAATTTTGGGTGATAACAAATAAGTAATTTTTATTTGACTGCTAGATGTTTACTTTTCAGATGTTTATTTTAATTTGCTTTAAGCAGAGAAAATAATCTTGTAGGTACTTGCAGTGTCATAAAAATTTGCATAAGATTGAAAATCAGTCAGTGGAGAAAAATAGTACTTAGATAACATTATAGCTGGTTACATAAGACACAAATCACAAAGGCCACATATAGATTGACTGAAAACACAATGATAGAAGTGTTGCAAATATTCCCTCCTAAAAAGTTTATTTGGAAATAGTTTTGGCTTCACTATGTAATCTGTTCACAGAAATAATGGCAGAAAACTTCCCAAATATAGGTAAAGAAAGAAACATACAGATAAGTGAATCACATAGAACCCCAAATGACCACAATCAAAAGATAATGTCTCTGCGCCATTATACTCTAAGTACCAAAAGTCCAACACAGAGATAAAATCATAAAAGCTGTTAAGAGAAAGACAATGAATTATATTCACAGGTAAATCCATTAGATTACAGCAGACTTTTCTACACAAAACTTAAAAGAAAGGAGGACATGGAGCTAAGTGTTTCAAACCCTAAAAGATAACAACATCCAACCCCAACTTTTATATCCCGCAAAACATTCCTTCAAAATTAATGGAGAGACAGACTTCTGGGAAGATGATGGGGCAATGAGCAGCAACACCTCAACCTCTGCAATATTTGGAATTGAGACACTGGAAAATAACAAGTTGGGGAAGAAAAAAAGGAGAGAGGTGGACCCCTGGGACCCAAGAAGGATCTGAGCCCACAGGGAAATTGAAGAGACAGACCACAACACAAAAAATGGAAGGGACAATCTGCATTTTCTCTTCAGTTCCTGGCTTGTGGCATAAAGAGGCTCAAATCCACAGAGATACAGTAAAAGTGGGTAATTCCAGAGGCCTCCAGGGAGAAATCCACAAGTAGAACACAGCAGTGGATTGTGTGCACTGCAATAGCTGGTGAGTGACTCCAGTCCAAGTAACTGCAGTGCCCCCTAGAGACACTGCTTGGTCAGATGCCATCTTAGGGACAGGCCAACTGAAGCTGGGACTCAGAGCAGCCATTGATAGGCTTCATCTTAAGGACTCCCAGTGTTAAAAACCCACAGTGACTGGATGAGAAATAACCACAGGAGACATCCTTGGTCAGGGAGCTAGTGTCAGACCAGTAAGAAACACCCAGAGCCTTATAAGCTAACTGACTCAGGCTCCAGCCCCACAGTAAGAGGCCAGGCTCAATCTGAATGTCTGTGGACTTGAAAGTACTAGAACAGGCACTCTACTTTAAACCTACGGCGGACTTGCTGGGATTGTCCAGCATGAATCTGTGCACTGACTGCCTCCTTTATCTTCCAGCAAGAGCAAAGTCAAGTTGGCACTGCCACAAAACTGTAGACCCCAGAGAAAACCACAAGCTTGAAATCAGAGAGAAATTTCCTTTCTTTTTTCTTTTTTTTCCATTAATTTGTGGTTTTTAATTGTTTACTTTTGTTTTTTCTTGAGTGTGAACATTGTTTTTACTTTTTTGTTTTCTTTAGTTCTTGTTTTGGTTTTTTCCTTGTTTCCCTCCTGTCTTTCCCAGTTTTCCCAGGCTTGAACAATATTCCTTTGTCCTTCAGGTTTGATTCTAATCTCTTTTTCTTCTATTATTTCTCTATTTTTTCCTCTTAACCCTTTTAAATTTTCTCCCCTTGGGGTAAAATTGCTGTATTGAGTGAACATTTATTGTATATAATTTTCTAATTTGTCTTAGGTTTTGTTATATAACTATAAATCTTGTATCCATGGTTAAATGTAGCAAATTATAACACTGTCATTTCCCAGTCTTTGCTTCATAATATTGTTATTACTGATTGTACTACTTTAGCCAAAGTGGCATAGTTGTCATGATCAATTGATCTTCTTTGTATGCCAATCCCTAGATTGTCTGGGGGTCATAAACAATGTTTTGGTCTAGTACCAAAGAACTAGGTGCTAGGCCAAACAGGCTGCAACCTTTCACGCCTAATAAAATGAAAAGGTAGGATTCTAGGACAGATTCAAAAGCCAAAAGCCAGCCACATCTAGAAGATATCTCCAAAAGGTAGTCATTTCCTAAAGATGTCTTGATACTAGCAATAAACAAAATAGATTAGTCCATAGCCAATTTTATCAAAATAAGGAAAGAAAAGATCCAACTTTATGTTATTAGAAATGAAAATGACAAAATCACAACAGATTCTGCCAAATTACTTTGAGAACTTTTACTCTGATAAAATGAAAACTTCCAAGGTCCCAAGTTTGATTCCCAGTACCAAAACAAAACAAAATAAAACAAAACTTCAAGAGAAATAGATTCCTAGATACATATGTCCTACCAAAGCTGAATTTGAAGATATAAAAATCCTGAATAATCCAGTATCAGTCAATGAACTTGAAGAAGTGATTTTTTAAAGAAAACTACCAACTATCAATTCACAATGTCTATCATATCTCCTAGTTTAAATTAACTCTTTCAGGTTTTACACTAGTGAAACAATGCGGTGCTTGCACATGTATGTTTGAGAGCACTCAAAGGTAAAGGGCAACTGGGATGTGGGAAAAGAGAAGGGAAAGAAGGAGAAATTTTGTATGTATGTATATGCAGGATAGTCAACATGGCTGTTCTACTGTCTTGTATTTCTTTGCTGAAAGAAACTGTCAGTGAGTCCTTGGTTGATCAGCATTACATGTCTATGTCTGTTTTCATGAGAAACCACTTTGAAGATATCAATATGTGATACAACAAGCATTGTTAATTCCCTACCACTTTGTTTGTAACTCTGTACTGTCTGTACTGTTCCTTTGCTATTTTGTAAAATGTTGTCTGTCTGTTAATATTTTCCTCCTTTTATTTTTAAAATAAAAATAAATAAATAAATAAATAAATAAAAAAAACTGCCAACTAAGAAAATCCAAAGTCCCAATGGATTCACTGTTGAATTCTACAAGAAATTTAGAGAAGATCTAATGTCATCATTCTTCAAACTCTTTAATGGAATAGAAAGGGAAGCAATACTCCCAAAGTCATACTTGGAAGCAAGCATTACCCTGATTCAAAAACCAGGAAAGGACCCAACCAAAACAGACAACTGTGGGTGAAAATCATCAAAAATATCATACATCATAACCAGGTAGGATTCATCCCAGCGATGCAAGGTTGGTTCAACACATGCAAATCAATAAATACAATACACACAGAAGCAAGGACAAAAGTCACATATTCATCTCAATAGACACAGAAAAGTTAAATTATCATTATTTGTGGATGACAAGATCCTCTACATAGAAGACTCCAAAAATACTACCAAAAGACTTCTAGAATTAATAACCAAATTCAATAGCATAACAAGATATCAAGTCAACTTTCAAAAATCAGTGGTGTTCCTGTACACCAATAACAAACTCACCAAGAGAGAAAATAGGGAAACAACATCTTTCACAATAGCATCAAGAAAGGTAAAATACTTAGAAATTAACTTAACCAAAGAAATGAAAACTGTAGTACTCTGTAAAAGGAGATCAAACAGGATATCAGAAAATGGAAAAATATACCCTGTTCTTGGATAGGCAGAATGAGTACAGTCAAAATGGCCATACTTCCAAATCTGTTATACAGAAATACACAATCTAAATCAAAATGCCAATAGCTTTCCTCACAGAACTAGAGAAAGCAATCCCAAAATTCATATGGAACCAGAACAGACCTACAATACCAAAAGCAATTCTGAGAAACAAGGCCAAGCCAGAAGGCATCACAATCCCTCACTTGAAATTGTACTACAAAGCTACAGTAATTTAAAAAATACCACAGACTTATGGATTAATGGGACAGAATAGAGGCTGCTGAAACAACTCCAGGCATACTCAGCTACCTATCTTTGATAAAAGAGCCACATACTTTCACTGGAGGAAAGATAGCCCTTTAACAAATGATGCTGGGAAAACTGGCTATCCACATGCTGAAGATTGAACCTAGACCCATACCTCTTCCCATGCACTAAACTAAAATCAAAATGGATTCGAGATCTAAATATTAAAACAAGCCAGGAATGGTGGTGCACATCTGTAATCCCAGCATTTGCGTGGATTGAGGCAGGAGAATTGCTGTGAGTTTGAGGCCAACCTGGGCTGCATAGAGAGACCCAACCTCAAAAAACATAAATAAAATAATAAAAAATAAATAAAACAGAAACTATGGAAGACACATAGGTAAAACTTTTGAAGACATAGGTGTAGACAAAGATTTTCAAGAGCGAAGAGACAATCTATAGAATGACAAAAAATATTTACAAGCTACTCCTCAAAGGACCAATATCTAGAAAATGTAAGTAACTTTTTAAAAGAAATTAGACCCTCCAAAAAAGACTCAATCAAAAAATGGGCAACTGAAATGAATAAACACTTCTCAGATGAAGAAATACAAATAACCAATAAATACAACGGAAAAATGTTCAACATGGCTGGCCATTCAAAAATGCAAATTAAAACTGAGATTCCATCTCACTCCACAAACTTTCTTGGCTATCTTCAAGAAATCAGACAGCAACAAATGCTAGCAAGGTTGCAGGAAAAAGAAACCCTTCTCCACTGTTGGTGGCACAACCACTGTACAAATCAGTATGGAGATTCCTCAGAAACTTCAAACTAGAAATTCCATTTGACCCAGCTAATCCCCTTCAAAGACATCATACCATGGTGATGGGTGCATACCTATGTTTATGGAAACACAATTCATAACAGCTAAATCTTATATGTCTATATGTCCTATATGTCCATCAACAGATGAATGGGTAAAGAAAATGTGGTATTTACCCACAATGGAATAGTACTATGCCATGAAAAAGATAAACTTGAGTTATTTGTGGGAAAATCAGTGCACTTTAAGACCATAATGTTAAGTGAAGTAAATGAGACAGAAAAGCTTCAATGTTCCATGAGAAACAATTGAGAAACTCAATATACAAATAAAGTGCAAAATAAAAGACAGACAATAGGAAAAAAGAGAGAAGATTATTGTAATCTAACATGGACAATCTACCTAAAAGTGTACCTTGTTTTAGTATAATTGTCTTATACATTTTGTATGTTGTTGTTGTTGTTGTGTTTGTCTTTTTTTGAGACATGGTTTTGCTATGCAGTTGAGGATGGCCTTGAACTCATTTTGTAGCCCAGGCTAACCTCAAACTCCCAGCAATCCTCCTGCCTCAGTCTCCTGAGTGCTGGGATTACAAGCACACACCACCATGCCCAGCTTGTATGGCTTTTTGGCCTGTTACCATGACTGTTAATTTATATGTCTGATAAGTAACTTTATAAAAACTTTTAAGATAAGTAAATGAATATAACAGTGGCAAAAAAGGGAGGACGGGAAGGAATTGAGATGTGTTATGTACCTGTACCAGTTACTCACAATGAATGTAATCATTATGTACTCTAAACTTGTATTAACAAAAGTTTAAAAATATTTAATAGCAGTTGAAATTATTTTAATATCTGTTCACATTAAAACCACTTCACACATTTGGAGATGAGACAGAAGTGGACTTTGTTTTGGGTATACATCCTTTAATGTATTGTCTAATTTATTATACATACAGTACCTCAACAAAATGGAAGGCCAGTTGTCCTAACACAAATCCTAATACAGAAAGAATTGTCAAGACAATGACTTCATGATTCTTTAACAGCACCTTCAAAACACCTTTAAAAAAGAGAATGCATGTTATTTAAACATAACTCATAGTTTTAAAATGCTGCTTACCTGGATTCAATCATTACCCGTTACATACGTGTATCCAATTTTATCGTACTCCATATGTGTGTACAAATATTATGTGTCAATTTTAAAAATAAACCTTATTGAAAGAAAAATGATACTTTATAGTTTTAAAACAATTTAATATTCACCCTCTATTTAATTTTGAGCATTCTGAGTGTCACATTATTATAGATGAATAGTAAATAGTTGTTACAAATACTGTTAAGTATAAGCCACATATAGCAAGGCAACTCTCGCTGGTGAATTTTAAAAATACTGAGACTTCAGCACCCTCCCATGTGCCCACCCAGTGACATGTTAGGACCAATGATGAGAAATAATGAAACATCCCAGGCTAATACCAACACACTTCATCTTATATCAATAAATATTTGTTCTAGACCTAAAACAACGTATGTTCTATAATTTTCCTAAAAGTCAGAAATTCCTTTAACTCCGTTCGTAAAAAAATTGCCTTAATCATACAAGGAACAAAAGGCATTTGTTATCTCTATCTGCATTTTCTTCCCTTGAAGCCCTACTTTGCCCAAGATTATTCATTTCATCTTCTCCAGAGGCAATCAAGAGATATAATATTAATTTATGCACAGGGCAAGATTCACTGGCATCCCAGATTCTGCACTTCCTGCCTCACAGCTGTAGGTCAAGCTAAATCAGTAAATGTTTATTCAATATTTCTTATGTGCAAGGCCAGACAAATGTTTTTCACAATACTTCTGCAATATCCTTTACTAATGGACCACTTGCTTCCATGGATTCATAGTGTATCAAAACTAGTGGCATCAACTGAGGAATGGATAAAAAAGATATGGTATTTTTATACAGTGGAGTATTACTCAGCTATAAAGAAAGATAAACTGGAGGTTTTTATAGGTAAATGGATGCAACTAGAGACCATACTCATAAGTGAAATAAATCAGACTCACATGTGTAAACATCATATTGTCTCCCTAGTGTAAGAAACTGAAAGAGTAAATAAGATCCAAAATCTACAATAGATATTGTGAAATGGAAAGATACTGCTCAAAAGGAAAGAACAATTGGGATGGGGGAAGAAAAAAATATATACATATATATACAAGCTAAGATAATTATACTACTAATTTCTATTAGTTCATTGAAAGGAATGAAATGTGCTTATACTGTTTGATCAGACTGCATGCCTATATCTTGTAATCTGAGCAACTACTTTGAAGATAACAATATGCAATATAAGAACCATTGTTAATTTCTTATTATCTGGTTTTGAAATTCTGTATCATAGGTTTTATGGAGTTTTTTCACTTTAAAAAATACTAGTGGAGCTTATAGCCATCAGTACCTTGTGAGTACCAAAAGGGACCAAGATCTTTACTATTTTAAAGATCTCCACAGAAAGTAATTTCACTCCCTCATCCAAAAGGTAAAACTGAAAAAGTTTGTTGTTGTATTTGCTTCATTATTTGTTCATTTATAGCATTCCTAATTCCAGAAAGGAACAGCTGACATTTTTCCCCAAAATAAATTTTCTTTTACGGGGGCCCAGACACTGTTCTAAAATCACTAGAGTTAAATTGTGGAATAAAACTGCTGTTCTTGAATATGTTATTTTATCTGCATAAAAACTATTCACTGTATCGTTTGAATTCTTAATCATCACTTAAAAGGCCCTTCATAGTGAAGTTCCTTCTGGAAGCTGAGGTGAGTGGTTCATCTTCGAAGAAAAATCTCATCAAAAGCCATAATAAAATGGACAGACTTAATGACGTCAACTACATAAGTTATGAATTGTAGATCAGAGCTCTTTGTCTATTTACCCCAGTTGTCTGTCCTCATCTCAGATATTTTGGTTAGGTTAGGTATGCCAAGACGGGCTGTATAGGGTTGTTCCTCCTTGTTACCAGAGAATCTCAACAGTGCCTTTCTGGTTATATTTACCACATCGCATCGTAGGTATCTGTTTGCCAGTCTCCCACATGAGCAGGCTCCAAGATGTGAAGGAGCGCCTCACTCTCTTCATGTGCCTATCACCCTGCCATGCTCAGCAAATGTTACTGAATGAAGGGACAAAAATAGATACTATTTAAAACTGAAGGAAGCTAGACGGACAGCATTCACCTGCATCTGGAAATTTCATTGATCTCTTCTTTTGATATGGTCATGAACACTCTACACTTTAAAAAAAAAAAGCTCAAAGCATAGAGGAGAGATAAATTTTAAAAATAACCACCTACCTCCCAAAACACTAATGGCGCATATAAGTAGTGGGAAATGTAGCTCTGTTACAAGGTAATCAGCTGACCTCCCGCAGAGTAAATCAGGTGTAGAACCTTCTTCTTGTGTCCAAAAGGAATTATTCATGTTTTGCTGTTATTTTGCTAGAACTTGGTGGAGTCCCTTGTGTTATTACTGACACTTTCACTACTGCAGACTAACCTGTTATAATACGCAAAAAGAGAAACATGAGGCCTTCCAAGACCAGATTCACCCAGATCCCCTACTTAAGGTTGTGCCACACTGAGATCTGAGCAGTCTCTTCTTGTCATAAGGCACATGCTAATACTCCTTGTTCTACCTCTTGCTCTAAGAATATTTTATAGGAACAACAACAGCAGTGTTGATGTTTTTTCCTGGAGAGAGGGTATATTCATTATTGTCCTAACTATTGTAATGATATGGTAATGACATGTCCTGGCTGAACAGTGAGTTTTTCAAAGGCTGAAGCTAAATATTGACTTTTATTTTTATTAGGGCTGTGCACACAGTGTGTAGCACAAGATTCAGCTCTCGATAAATATGCGATGAAGTGAACTCTGAGGGAAGAGCAGCAAGGATAAATGTTATACTCCACATTCTCCACAGGTCCACATCATTCTAGAATTCCACTTTACTGCTCCAACCCCAGCACTCCTTCATCTCAGCCTCTCCCAAATCACAAATGGCACATGGGCAGCACGGTCAAAGTGGAGCCACAGCAGTCCAGACTGGGAGTGGGGATGGGTGAAAATAATCCAAAAACAAAAAATAAGACTAAGGTTGAAGTTTGGTCATTGGTGCTTTTAACTGAATTAGAAAAAGTCCCTCTTCCTCAGAGTAGCAGGAAGACGACAGGTACATGGCTTGGCGTGCAAATTACGAGCTGTATTCCAGCTCCAATCCCCTCCTGGCTGGTGCCCTGGTGTAGGACACAACCGCACACACAATGTATGTGCTGTCCTGAGAAGGACTTGTGCTGTTTTATGTTTCCTTCTTAACTTCAGAACTCCTACAAGTTCTTAAAGAAGCAGCGATAATATTTAAATTCATCTCTGGTGCCCTGCTGTGATTGTTTGGTCTATAGGGCACAGTGATCCTGGGATGAAGCATGGGGCGGCTGGGCTAAAAATAGACTCAAAACACAACATCTCTCAGCTCTTCATGTGTCTCTCAGTAGCCCTTCGTGTCCTTAGCATTTTCAAACACTTCTAACTCCATGTGTTAATGACCTTTAAATCAAGTTCTCCAAACTACCAAGACACAGTTTTTCCAAACCTAGGCTTCTTCCAAGTAGAAATCGAGATGAAGTCTCCCAAAATCTCAGAACAAAGCTCAGCTCTACATCTGTTTGCCAAAGGACAGCGCTCCCAACTGATACAATGGCAAAGCACTTTCCAAGCCTACTTTTTATTGGTTTCTTGCCTGCCTGGTTCTGTTCTGATTGGCTACTCCGATATCCCCACCACCAATCCAGAAGAAGATAAGTTATGTACTAACAGGGGGCATTTCTTAATATTCAAACTGTTTCATACAACAACAGTTTTAACTGATTTCCCTTGCTAACATAATAGCTGAAATGGTCAAAGACACCGACCATGCAGGGAAAATATAGTTGCTTTTTTTAATGCCAACTGGATCCAGTTCAACACTGCCCTGACTCTTCTCTCATTTTCAGGCAACTGTTTCCATTTTTTTTTTTTTTTTTTCTGCTTTTCAACGTTCTTTATTCTCGTTTTCCTCTTTCCTATTTGTGATTGGTCTTTGGTCCTTAATTTGAAGAAATAGTGCCACCCATTTTCTGAGGGAGCAAAAATGCGTTGCTCTGCTGGGAGTGGTGGCACGTGCTTGTAACTCCAGCGCTCAGGGAGGCTGAAGCAGAAGGATAAGAAGTTCAAGCCCAGTTTGGACAACTTAGTGACTTGGCAAGATTCTGTCTCAAAATGAAAAAATAAATAAAAGGAATAAAGTGTAGCTCAAAGTGCAAAGGTCCTGGGTCCAATCCCCAATGTGGGGACAGGGAGAGCAGGCATGCAAGTAACCCCCAATTCTGGGACACCTAGCTAATCTAATATACAGAATGAATTTTTTAGTGAATATTAATCAACTTGTAGGTTACTTTCAAGGAAGAGTTCTTTTGTGACTAGAAAATTCCACTCTGTCATTCTTACACCTCATAAATCAAGGTTGTGGGATAGTCCCTGCTCCAAGAACTCCACAGCAGGAAGATTACTAAACCTATTATCAATCTTTTTTTTAAAAAAAAAAAATTATTTTAAAGAATAAAAGAAGGATAATATAATAATAGGAGAGGCTTACCAAATTACAGACAAAGTGGTATGAAATTATCAATGGCTGTTGTTTCACATATTGTTATCTACAAGATCATTTCTCAGGAAAACAAATAGACAAATAATAGTGAGTTACAGAAAAAAGAGGTAGGAGATTATCAATAGTTGTTGTACTATACTTTGGTATCTTCAAAGTGGCTTCTAAAGCAAATAAATAGAGTTATACATGAGTGACCAATTGAATAATCATTAACTATTTTCAATGGTTGTTGTAAGAAACACATAATAATAAACATATATCCATTTATGAAATAGGATAGAAACAATACAAACATTACAGAGTTATGGACAGATTGGTAGGAAAATATCAATGGCTGCTGTAATACATGGTGGTATCTTCCAAGTGGTTTCTCAGGAAGACAGAGATACGCAAGAAGGATCTAACAAACAATTACAGCCTAAAGGTTGTCAAAAATAGCGTATTACCTCCTCAGCAGTGACTCCTTTCACTGAGGTGTGATGGCTGGAAGGCAAGGATTGAAAAGAAGGACCGAGAGACTTGCACCTGTGTTTAGGAACAGGCTGTTTTCTTGTTCCTCCAGAGTCATGATTACCCGGGGCTCCTCCATGGAGATGACAGTCTGGCCAGAGGGAGGAGGCAGAGTATGCCCCGGGCCCCTTAGTTCCTGTTGGATTAACTGGTAGAATGGGTCTGAGCTCTGGGGCCTCTGCTTTAGAGTGCAGACCAATCTCCAGTGGTCACTTTTGCATTCAGGGCATGGCCCAGGGGGCCTCTTAGGGCAGTTCCTCTTGAGGTGGCCTGGCTTTTAATAGTGGTAGCAGATGAATGCAGTCATCAAGTTCTTCTTGGGGCCCCAGGAATCAGACTTATTATCAATCTTCTCTATTACTTAGGTATTAGGAAAACTTTGACAAGTAAAAGTCTCAGTTCCTAGACAAAATTTCAGTTAACAGCTCTGTATCTGACTCTGAATATAACAACCACATTTGGCATCAACACACCAGCACTCAAAATAGTCATGACTACAACTTTTTTTTTTTTTAACAGAATTGTGTGGTTCTTTTAAGCCACTTGACCCATTCCTATTAAATGGCAGAGATCAAAGTAAAAGAAAAGGTCTTACTCACAGGCTTTCTCCTGAGAGACCCATTCCTTATCCTTCCCATTCTGCCTTAACTCATCTACTGGCGAGTTTCACCATGCTTTCCCCATTTTCCTCTTCACCTGATCTATATTGGTAGTCACCTTGATTTCTACCAGGCATTAAGTTTGCACTGCCTCAGATCACTCTGCCTAATGTCCTTCCAGTTCTATGTCACTCCCCTCCTTCTATTGTCCCTCAGACTCTTTTCACCTAAACCCAATAGGAAATCTTCTGTGGTTTCAATTTAAGCTTCAAAATCCAGATTCAGCAAATCCTCACACTTCAGGAAAATTTTGATAAAATGTAGAGTCATGGCTTACAGTTCTGAAACCTAGAGATAACATATAACCAAAAGACGGATGCAAGCAAATTTCTATTTGCCAGTCTTTCCCTAGAGATCCTTTAAAAAATCCTTAATAGCTGGACATGGTGATGCACACCTGTAATCCCAGCACTCCAGAGGCTGAGGCAGGAGGATCACCATGAGTTTGAAGCCAGCCTGGGCTACATAGCAAGAGCCTGTCTCAAAAAAGATAAATTAAAAATAAAGAGCCATAATAAATTTATATTTCATTGTTTTTGTAAAGCGAGCAGACTTTGATAGCACTGGAGAGTTGAGGGCTCAGAGGATGCCCTGTGGGCTTGTTCTCAACCAGTCTTTCTGAACAGACTCTGTGACTGAGCTAGGTGCACAACATAGGCGGATGTATAGTTTCCCAGGCCCCTAACACTATGGTTGGCTCAGGTGTAGGAATGGGACTCAGATGAGACCAATAAGATGACTCCTTGGGCTGATACACACAGTCACTGAGCAGGAGCTGTTCTCCTTCCGTTTGGGGTGAGCTGTGATCAGGGTCACCTAGTGCATGGAACTGTGTGGAGAAAGCCTTCTATGAGGCATCATCTTTGATATTTCTAAGATCCTAATGGATAACTTTGGAATTCCTTCCCCAATTTTATCTTTTTCCAGAAGTTATTACTTAGTTAAAAAGCTTTCATCCATCTAGAAAGGCCGGGAATGAGGAACAGTTTTGTTTTCAAACCAACTACTGGTTCCTTTATGTTTCTTCTGCAGTTTATTTGAAAGCTGAAATGTTTCTTTTCTCAGCTCATCACCCGCCTTACATTTTAGAAGAAACCAAGTAGCACTGAAATGCTGTCTGGAAATTGTCTTGGCAGGATTATTGATTTCATTACTTAAATAATTGCAGCCAAACTTATTTTAATCTCATAACAAAGGTTGTATTTCCTCCAGCTTCCAACATTTTTCTGTCTTTCCTATAAACTATGCCTTGTAGCCTCCTAGAGCATCCTAGAGCCTCCTAGAGTGACTCCACTTGAGGCCTGGAGGCTTTTGCTCACACTCCCTTGTAGACCTTCCTGGCATAGGCCTCCATCCAGTCCCAAAGCCAGGGCCACCTATTTTAGGTTTTGTTATGCCCACTTGTCACTCCCAGGTTCTAAGACATGTATGTAATACATTGCTGTGTAACAAATAAACACACAAATTAGTAGCTTAAAACAAAAACAATCATTTATTTGGCTCACAAGTCTGCAGTTCTGGCAGTGCTCAGCAGGGAAAGTCTGTGTCTACTCCATACAACATTAGCTGAGTGGCTTGACTGGAGACCCACTTCCGAGATGACTCAGCCATAGGCCTGGCACACTGAGGATGACAGCTGGCTGGAGCTCAGCTGAGGCTGTGGCTTCCGGTCCCTTCCATGTGGGTCTCTCCACCTCTCCATGTGGTTTCTAAGAGCACACATCTTAAGAGAGCTGGGCAGAAACCACATCACCTTTTATGCTCTTAGCCTTGGAATATCACATAGAACCACTTTCCCTACAGCACAGGCCTGCACAAATTCAAGAGGTGAGAACGGAGACCCATTTCTCATTCCTCCTCATGTAAGGAATGTTGTAATCATATTGTAAAAAGCACATCTGAGATGGGAGATGGGGCCATCTTGAAAGATATAATCTACCATATTAGAATGAACACTGGAGTAACTGTCATATTAGAATGAACACTGGAGTAACTGTCAGTCTCTCACAAGTTGGGGCATTATGCTCACCTAAACAGCAATCTGCCTGCTTTGCTTAGTCTAGTGTGGTAGTTTTCTAAGGTCAGTTCTGTTCGGATTCATGGGAGAAGTTCCATCATATTTGGCAACATGAGGAAAATCAAACATAAAGCTCTATAATAAAGCTTGTTTTTTTTTTCCATGTAAAGGGTAAGGTTTTACCCTGAGATCATATCTTCCCCATGGTTTTGGTGTTAAAATGTCTTTTATTAAATGATAATAGGTAGTAGTTGTTTTCTTAAGAGGTTATATCAGTATCCTCCCTTTATTTTTCTATATTTTTCTGATCAATGAAATCCAAAACTCTAAATAACTGCTGTCTAGAAATTATCATAGCACTGAATTTAGTCTTTGACTGACTACCTTTCAACTACTGTGGAGGCATTTTTTAATTACTAGTACATACTCTGAATAGTAATTATTCTGTGGAAGTTCACAAAAAGCCATGCAGTGCATAAGGGCATTTTAACCATCCTACGAATCTATAATGTGCAACAATAAGTAACAACAAATACTGTATCTCTCAAAAAGTTATAGATCTATAGATGTAAGTAAATGTCAGATCCTCGCATCAGCAGAATCTTTGAAATAAGACCCAGGAATCCTTGGGTAAATCACTAGGTTCATGGGGTTGACAAATGATATGACATTCAAGATGAAGGCTTAGGAAAGAGACAATCAGAAGAGAAAATAGACACAGAGCCATAGTGTGGGATGCGTGTGGCTTGCCCGTTGGAGGAATAGGGATTGAGATGGGGCACTAGCATAAGTAAGATATGGAGATAAAGTTATTTTTATAAAGGTGAGCAAGCTCTATGAATGGATGAAAAGGTAGTGAGTTCTAGGAAGAAAAGTAGAAAAGTGAATTCATTTAACTATTATTTACGAATCTACTATCTTTCAGACTCTTTAGATATAACAAAGTTCGTATCCTCAAAAAGTTCAGAATTCACATGCAGAGACAAATACAAACAATTAACCAGCTATTAGCACTAAGGGTGCTCAAAGAAGAAAGGATTAGTTCTTTGTAATAGTGGGGATAAGGAAGTGGAGAATTACAAACTGCTTCACCAAGGGTCAGGGTTGAATTTTGAGAGGTTCTCATAGCTGGGGGCAAGTTGAGGAACAGAAGCTGATGACGGAATTAGATAAGCAAATTGTGAGGAAGGTAGAGGTGTCATGATTGGCATAAAGGTGCCATTATAAGGACATTTACAAATATAGCATTAGCAAGTATATCAAGAGCTACAAAAATTTTGAGGATAAATATTGAGAAATAAGTATAAAAAGAGAGAGAGGCTTATTATAAGGGGTCTCCAGAAATGCCACCATCTTATTTGAGAATCTTAGAAGCAAAATCCAGGGTTCCTTTTGTGCTTACAATGAATACTCACCTGGGAATTAATGTTATTCAAGATCAGGATCAGAAAATACAAAATTAAGAGTAGAAATAACAACAATGGCACCTGGCCTCTTCCTAAATTATTGCAGTGTTGAAGGACATTGGACCTCTAGAAATGTCCTGTATTAAGAAAATGGAGCACAGATACCCTTCCTTATATTTCTCCAAAAACACCAGCTTTTGGAGAAGGCCTACCAAAGAGAGGGGTAAGTTATTGCCTATTCTTCTGCTCAAGGAAGCTGAAACCAAATTGCTTGTACATTCTTTTTTAAATCTCAAAACTTAAGACTTTGGGAGATACTTTAAATGGTTATCTCAAAACCACGATTGAGACAATGTCAAGTGACAAAGTATCACTGAATTGGTCATTTATTTTCCCTCTTCCTTAAAATGAAAAACTAGCTTGCAGAGCAAGGCAAAGAAGAGAAATTCATAAGAACAAAGAATATCCTTTAAACATTTTCTTTCCTATAAAACTTGCCCAGAAAATGCCAAAATAATAGAAGGTTCAGGGGCTTGATTAAATAAACTACAGAAAAGGACTTTCCAAACCACCAATAGGAACCCAAGTGAGATGTTTAAAACCCTAGGAAAAAGAAAACAAAACAGGAGGAAAAATGTTGTGGAGTCATGACAACAACCATATTGATATACCTAGAGAACAGGAGAAAACTTCTAAATACAAAGCTACATAGGTTGGTGTTTATTAACTTAAAGATAGAAAGAGGTTAAAGATAAATATGGGTTTTACTCAGAAACTATATCCAATTTATAGGTGAATTTTAATTGGAACATAAAAAATAATAATTATAACCAGAGGACCCTGATCCAGACAATTCTTAGTATATCCTTGCTCCAGAATTTCATTCATAAATAAAAAATAAAATATCATACAGAATTTCATTGATAAGATTTCTTTTGGAGAGAGCAAGAACAAAATTGTCTTCCTCTGGAAATAACCAAATGTGTCTTTTTAAATGGAATTCTCCATTTGAATGGAAATGTTTGTCTCAATTACACAAAAAGTCATGGCACTCTCTAAGTGGTTTTTAAAGACTCCCTGTGGTCTCTGTGAGCGATTTCTACCCAAGTGCTTTCCTGATGGAGTACATGAAACTCACATGGGCCTGCGCAGGGAGGAGCAGACACAAGACCGGAATCTGGGCAGAAGTACTCTGAACAGGGTAAAACCAAGCAACAGTGACTGAATCTTAAACATTTTTATAAAATTTTGTATCAATTTTCTTGACTTCGATTGGCATGAATAGGTTTGCCTTTGCTGATATTGGAAGAAATTATGGCCTTTTACAAAATATGTGTCCAGCAGAAGGTATAATCTTGACTTCTCTTCTGGCTATGGCTTAGTTTATAATGGATTTGGCATTTTCGCTTGACCTGGAAGGAAAGAGATTTTTTAAATTACATTTAATTAGCTTGTGATAAAAAAATTAAACCAGTTTTTAAAATAATGGACACAGGATAAGTACACTCCAGCTGAAACCAGCTGAAATCTTGCTGTTATTGGTATATCAGGTCAAATACTCTCCCGTATGTACATAAAAGCTATGAGACCATTCTTCCCATATAATCAGTATTATTGTTCCTAACTTGGCTATGGACTAGAGTAACTTTGAATAATTGCTGAACCTGTCAAGTTTTCATTACTTCATTGTAAAATGTGGGATCATTTCAGAGGCTCTATCAAGACCTAACATCTTACTAAAATAAAAATACTTAGCGGGGGTTGGCCAACATAGGGGACTTAGGGAAAAGGCAATTCTTCTACAGAAGAGAAATATCAGGGAAAGTGAAATAGTCAGAAGAGTCATATTTATAGGGAACAAAAGTAGGTTAATTGTTGCAGGGCTTGAAGAAGGGAGGAATACAGTGTCTGTTAATAGAAGGTTTCTTTTGGGGGTGGTAAAATGAGCTAAAATTAGATAATGGTGATAATTATATAACTTTGTGAATATACTGAAATCCACTGAGTTTAAAGGGTTCACTCTTTAAAAAGGTGAGTTTTATAGTATGATTATTATATCTCAACAAACTGTTATTTTATTAAAATCTCAGGTATGCTTGCCATGAAGTTTCTGATACATGAACTTTCCTCACACTCAGGATGGTGTTGCCACCGTAAGTTTTTCTCCACATACAAAATTATAATGCTGAAAATCTTTTTCCAGTGCTGCCACTCTCCTTCCCAGGAGGACATGCTTTCCTATTTGAGAATCACTGCTCAAGATCAAAGACACAGTAATCATATAAGATGTAATGACAAGACTGGTACAACACTGTGGAAATCAGAATGGAGATTCCTTAAAAAAAAAAAACTACGGTTAGAAGTCCCATTTGACTCAGCTATTCCCCTTCTGGGTATCTTCCCAGAAGAATTAAAAACATCATACCACAGCGATATTTGTGTACCCATGTTTATAGCAGCACAATTTGTAATAGCTAAATCTTGGAAACAACCCAAATGCCCATCAACTGAGAAATGGATAAAAACGATGGCTTTTATATATAATATATATATATAATGGAGTATATTACTCAGCCATAAAGAAAGATAAACTGGAGACTTTTATAGGTAAATGGATATAACTCAAGATTCTACTCATAAGTGAAATAAATCAGACCCATATGTGTAAACACCGTATTGTCTCACTAATGTGAGAAACTGAAAAAGTAACTAAGATCCAAAATGTAAATAAATATTGTGAATTGGGAAGAAACTGTTCAAAAGAAAATACAAATTGTGATGGGAGAGAAGGGAAAGGAAGAAAGGGAAAAAGAAAAAATATATTTATACACAAGATAGTTAAGATAGTTATACAGCTAGTTTCTCTTAGTTTATTGAAAAGAAAGGCTTGTGTTACTATTGTTTGAATAATGTATCACGGCTATATCTTGTACTCTTAATAACTACTATGAAGACAATACACAATGTATTAATTATTGTAACTCTCCTACTACTATTTTAAAATTCTTATTGTTATTTTTATTTTTTTCTCTTTAAAAGAAAAAAAGAAAAATAATGTAATGACTGATGATAGTAATATCAAGATTGCTACTGGGTATTTCCTATAGAAGGAATTCAGTTACCAGTTATTCCTAATAATGAAACGGGAGCTGTGTTAGAGCTGCTAAGCTATAGTATCTTCAATAACATTGAACCTAATCTTCATCTTTTCTGACATTCAAACTACTTTTTACCCAATACTTACGGGATGTAGCCATTTTTGTGAAGATAGGAGTCACAATATCTTCTAAGTTTTGCCTCTGCTCAAAAAGCTCATTAATGGAAGCTTCTGGATGGGTTTCCAACCACTCATTTTTTACCCGGCATGCATTGAGGACAGTGTTCTAGGAACAGAAATAGAGAATTTACTTTGCATTTATGCACTAAAAAATAAACTCCATAGTATCTCTATCAATCACCTTCTGTGGGCATAGAAATGATTCGTATCTGCTCTGCCCAAGACAGTACTCATTAGGTACATCCAGCTACTGAGTGCTAGAGATGTAGCCAGTGTGACTGAGACACTGAACTTTAAATTTTATTTAATTTTAAATAATTCAAACTTAAATAGCTATATGTGGCTTGTGGCAACTAAACTGAACAGTATTGCACTGACATTAGTGGAATGTGAGTTACCAAAACTCACCATCAAGATTCAAGAAGCTTGCACCAGTTTACAGTTCTCCCTAATTTTTTATTCTCATTGAACTCTGTGACAAAAATAACAGCTTGAAAAGGCTGGAAAAGAATAAGTAGATGGTAGGAACTGCATGCAACTCAATAGACAATACTGACATTTCCTCTCAAATGGTTCAGTATAGGAAGAAGTTCTACCCCGCTGAAAACCTCTCCTTTTGCACATATGCAGCAAACTTCTGATGTCTGATGGAAGGTGTTTGTAATACTATACCTCATAAATATGTACAAATATAATGTGTCAATCAAAAACTTAAAAATTAGAAAAGAAGTGATGTTTATTGTACTATGGTTTCTAAGAATAAAGAGAAATGAATAAATTATGGTATGTCTTCTCATGTTATTAAATAATAAGCAATAATAGATACAGAAGTATGCACAAAGAAGTGGGTTTTAAAGGTGTCCATAGTTATTAAGAAGGAGGAAAAGAAAATTAAAGAATAAATGTTATAGTGTGATTACATTTTTATGAAAATAAAATCCCCTCCTTCACAAGCCCTTATAATTTGTGTATAGCCATTTGATTACATAAGTGGAGGTGAAAATATGCAAACTTGACATGTTATTATCACAACCACAGGTAATAAGATGGAAATGGCAAAGAGAAAACAATGAATTTTGTTTTAAATGTTGTTTATCTCTGATTATTACTGTATGTATACATTTTCTTGTTCAGATAACCAAGTTTCTAAAAATTAAATCTGAAAGTTTTCTAGCAACTAGCTTGACAAAGAACTATTTCTTTGCACCAAGAAAATTTTGTTTTGTAGATCTAATGGCTCCAGTAGCTATTTTGATAGAACTTTTCCTATATTTTGTTTATTTCACAAGAAATTTTGTAGAGTATTTTTAGATTCCAGTGCCATATGTAATTTATCAAATTCATAACTTCCTTATTTCTTTTTAGCAACAGCTAATTCTTTGTCATCTAAGAGAAAGATGTCAGAGAAAATTCACAGAGCACTTTTCATAAAATAATTTAAAACTAAAATACATTTATCATACTTTGACCATATTTATTCAATGTACATCAAAATCAATAAAGTAGTTCACAGGCAATACGTAGATACAGTAATATGGTAAGTCAGCCTTACCATTAGCTATCTTTATATATGCAACTTTTTCCCATTATGGAAATTTTGATATATTAAAAATATATAATGTATGCATAGATGCTAAAATGTATAATGTATATGTAAGATTTGAAGCTCAATAATGCAATGAGTATCAGTGGACCCTACCAAGTAATGAAAGAAACTGCCAGTAGTACTGACACAACTTCTGCATCTCTCCCTGTATTCGCTGTCTCATTGCCGACACACAATAGCCAACCATTTAAAGAGAGGAAGGTTTAATTTAGCTCACAGGAGAGCTCCTCATCTTCAAGAGATTCAGTACATGATCAGTAGGCTCCAAGGAGAAAGCATCATGATGCAAGGGCATGGCAAGCCAAAACTGCTTAGTTCATGGTGGTCAAAAAACACCACAAAGGAAGAGTGCCAGAGAGGACTGGAAGAGGAACCACATACAGTACCCAGGACCACAACCCTATGACCAATCCCAGACAAAACATGAAGACATTACTAGTTTGTTAGGCATGTAGAATATAGGAGTCAAAGAGTCAGAGAACTTCAAAGAAAGGCCTGAGAAGGCAAGCAAGAAGCCCCCCATGAAGCCACATGTAAAGCAGCGGGAATGTAGTCAAAGGTGTTATGGAGACCCTCAGAAATTGGAGATGCCAGAAACATGGAATATCAATTTTTCTTTTTTAACAAAGTATAAAAGAGATAAAAAACCCAAAACAAAATACTTGAAATTTATAATTCAAAATCAAATTAGCATAATATTAGTTACAAAACTATGTCTTCATGTAGTCTGTAATCCTGGCACTTAGGAGCCTGAAGCAGGAGGATCGTTGTGGGATTTGAGACCAGCCTGGGCTACAAAGTGAGCTCAAGGCTAGCCTAAACTGCATAGTGAGACCCTGTCTCAAAATAGACTACAAAAAAATATAAATAAAAATATTTATACAACTGATGAAAGAATGGCTCAAAATGGAAGAATTTTCCTTTATTCCTGAAATAAAGTATGTCCAACAGAAGCTGTGAAGGTTTTCAGACTTGGTACAAACACCTCATCTTTGTACAGACACAAGAACTAACACATCAGCCCACTCACGGCTGGAGTGAGGCTGGGGCCACTGCTCCCTCCCCAGGTAGCAGAGTAGTCACTTGGGCTATTGACCTCCACCAGCATCATATATATGGTTTTCTAGAATATTGCGAAAATATTATTAAAGATGTTTGCTTCATGCAGACTGTTGGACAGTCCAGGCTGTTTGGGCCCAGTGGCTTTTAGTGTCACCTGACTTGTTGTTTGGGAGTCACCTGGGCTTCAGAAAGGCCAGATAACCGTACTGAGGTTCCATATGCCCATCCTTGGGAACAAAGTTTAGCAAAGAGACAGTTTACCTTTAAGACATCAGCAGGTAATACCACCAGTTTCCAGGACATAAACCAGGAAGGCATCAGACAAGACAGCAGGAAGCAGAAAATGGACAAGGAGAGGATGCAGTGAGGAGGGTGTGACCCAGCTTCTGCTGGGGAGGGTCCAGAAGCATCACTGCCTGAGTGGGTAGGGAGGCCTGACCAGCCTGTGCTTGCTGGGAACATCACAGCAAGTGACATTTAGGCAAAGGTGCTACCACTGTGGCTGTGTCTCAGCATGTGACTTGTGGTACAAACCAGGTGGACTTACAGTAAAAGACCTAGAATCCCAACTAGTGAATTAAAATATGGACCTTAATAACTATTATATTAATAAATTGGCTCCTGTAATCTAGGGGAGAGATTAGATGAGGCTGGTTTGCTTAATATCCAATCAAATATATGCATTTGAAAAAATATTTTGTCCTTTTAAAAGTTTTTATTTTTATTAGTACAGGTTTGCAGTACATAATGATTACATGAGGCACTAATATACTTGTCTTTATTTTTATTGTAAGGGCTACTTCTCATTTCTTCAGTGTTTTTTAGCAATTAGTAGTTTTAACATTCTAATTTCTTTATATTACCATAAAATAAGAATAGAGGATAGACACAAAATTGAATATTTGCTTAAAAACAAGAAAGGTCAAATAATTGTTTTATCCCAACATTGTGTTCTACTTGATCTGTACATTCCACTATCCCATTCCTGGAGATTAAAACACAGGGTTAAAAACTGGAAGATGTGACAGAAGGAGCCCTGTCTTGAGCAGAGATCCCAAGGACTCTTCTCAAATGAAAGGTTGACAATTTTCCACCCTTGAGCCTGCAAAAAGTGGAGTCTTGCTGATTCCTGAGATACCCTCAAGGCATCTTTCTTCCTGTTCTTGTACAAAATACATCACTGTTTTTTAATAGCATTAATCTCTTCAGCACACCTCCTTTGGCCTCAATTTTACACATGATTCTTTCTAGGCAAAATGTAAGTTTTTCAAACTTTTCTGCTCTGCGTTTTGCCCCCAATTCTCACTACAAACCTGGCTAAAAGCAACAAGTATTACCCATGCCACAGCTTGGATATTCAGCTGTCTTGAAATTTCCTCCACCAGATTAATTAGTCCACCATCTTTAATCTCAGTCTCCTGCAAAGTCTGAGCACATAGCTAGAATTCAGACAAATTTTCTGCCAGAGTGTAGCACACGTGGTCTACAGTTCAAATACCAATGGAGTCCTTGTTCCTAACTGAAACCTCTTGAGCCTGGCCTTTACCATCCATATTCTTGTCAGCAGTCTGGTCTTCTTTATTTTCTATACTGAACCCAGGGCCTTTTGCAGTGAATCACATCTCCAGCCTCTTATATTATTTTTAGTTTTTTTTCCAGACAGGATTTTGCTATGTAGTTCAGGCTATCCTTGAACTCACTGTGTACCCCAGACTGGCCTCAAACTCACCCTGATCCTTCTGTCTCAGCTTTCCAAGTGCTAGAACTACAGGTGTGTGCCACCATGCTTGGCAGCATTCTGGTCTTCTGAGCTCCAGACTGTTACCCATCAGGCTCTGCTTACTGAATTCTAAGGCTTCTAAACCACATAGTCAAGTAGTCACACCAACATACCTCTGCTACCAGTTTTCTGTATCAGTCAGCTTTCTTGTCATTAAGACACAATACCCCAAGCCCACAATTTAAAAAAGAGGATTAATTTAGCTTGGAATTTTGGGAGATTCAGCACGTGAGCAGCAAGCTGCAAGGCAGAAATGTCATGGCAGAAAGGCATGGAAAAGCAAAGCTGCTTAGTTCATGGCACCCAGGGACAATATGTAGTATCCAAGGTCATGGTAGGTGTGTCTTAATCCAATGAAGTTGTCATATCAAAATTAATGGTCATATTCTCTAACCCCTGTCACTGGCCTAGAAGACGTAAGTGTGATCTCTTGTTTTGTTTGGTTTTGGTTTTCATTTTCGTTTTCATTTTTGTTTTGGCTGAGCATGGTAGCACACTCCTGTAATCCCAGAATTTGGGAGGATGGGGAGGATCGCCATGAGTTCAAGGCCAGCATGGGCCACATAGTGTCTAAAAAAAAAAAAAAAAAAAAAGTTTTTTTTAATTAGTTTTACCCCCATATGTAGGTATCTCTAAATAATATAGCTTTATTTTGCTGGGTTTCACCCTTTATAGAAATCCAGGTAGTCTTCAGTGATTATTTTCCATTCAATACTACATTTGTAACATTCACCCTTGTTGTCAGATCAGTCTATCCCTTACCAGTGATCTATGAAGGAAAGAATGGAGAGATGGAAGAAATTGGGGAATGAAGAGGGAGGACAGAAGCGGGAGGGGAAGAAGGAGAAAGAAAGAAGAGAATCGGTATGGACTACCACCTACCTCTACAATGTTAGTGGAGAAATTAAGATGTAAGACACATTCTCAAAAGACTTTCAGAATAATAATCACAATACAGTACCTTGTCTTCCTTAAGGAGCTTCCCTGGTCCCTTTTCTGAGTCAGTTATGGTTAGGGAAACTTTTGTAATATACTTTCTCAGAGCCAATCTGGCATCTAAAAGAATAAGACAGTAAAACACACACTGATAAAACAAAGATTTTTAAAAAGCATTCAACTCTTTGTAAAGTACATTAGAACTTTATAAAGTTATATGTATGGAATTGATTGTGGTTGTTCCACTGAATTCCATAAAAATAATATTCAACCAGCACATCTCTTGGGAGCACTCAGTGTATTCCTAAAATTGTGCTAAAAGTTTTGAAGAACAAAGGAAATATAAAATATAACACCTGACAACGAGAAGCTGTCTATTAAAATGTCTACTCTAGAGAAAAAAACAAAAAAAAAAATTTCCAATAGGCAAACTGTTCCTCTTCTTAATACTTCACAAAAATTTCAAAAATATTTACTTCTTTAAGCACTTCCAAAAAAAAGGACTTAATAGTTACATTCACAGTAATGGTATCACAAAATTTCTAAGGCCTATTTCAATAAAACTGTAATATTTACTGAGAGAACTAAGACTCAAGTAGAGGAGCTTATCATATTTCTAGATAGAACAACTGATACTATAATTGTAAATTAGTCCCAAATTAATTTAAATGTTGATATATTTGTTTTGTGGGGCTGCTACAGTAAATAACCACAAATTTGATGGCTCACAATGACAGAAATTTATCTTCTTACAGTTCTGGAGGCCAGCAATCTGAAATTAGTTTCACTGACCTAAAGTTAACATGTTGTCAGGGCTGGTTCCTTCCGCTAACTCTGACGGGAGAATCCGTTCCTTTCTTTTTCAACTTCCAGTGGCTGCCTAAATTCCTTGGCTTGTGGCTCCTTTTTCCATCTTCAAATATATCATTCTGATCTCTTCCTCAGCAAATCACCTTCTCTCCTGTGTCAAACCTTCTACCTTCCACTTACAAGGACACCACAATTACATTAGGGGCTCATCTGGATAATCCAGGATAATCACTCATCTCAAGAACCTTAAGGATCCAGGTGGTGGCGCAGGCCTGTAATCCAAATACTTGGGAGGGTGATGCATAGGGATCACCTCAAATTCAAGGCCAGCCTGGGCTACATAATGAGTTCAAGGACAGCCTGAACTACATAGTGAGACCCTATCTTGCTTTGTCAAAAAAGCAAATTAAAATCTTAAGGATCTGTAAAGTCCCTATTGTCATATGAAGATTCACAGGTTCCAGGATTAGGACCTGATATCTTTGAGCACCCTCATTAGGCCTACCACAGTCCTCCCTCTTTCCCCCTGTGGGGAACCACTCAGACTGCTTCAAAGCTCAGGGGCACCTAAGGACACCTGAGGACATGATCCTGCTTGTCTAGCACAGGCGCACAGTAGAATAGTTACATAACCATGACGTAGCACAGGTAAGCATGCACTGGTTACAGCACTGTATAAGAATGTAAATACAAGATAACCTGTATAAGAGTTATACAATAGAGACGCAGGCTGCTCCTGTGCTCTGCTCAGCTCCATGCTGCCTGCTATTGTTGCTGATGTCTTGCACATGTGCATTCTTTAACGTGGAGACTTCACCCATGAAAATCTCCCTTGAGTCTCCTGAGTGGGCCAACACCCCCTCACAACTCATATCTATCCCAAATGCAAAATACATTCATCCCCCAAATCTTATTACAATATCAACTCCTATCCAAATTCATACTTAAATATCACAACTCAAAAGTCTCAAATCTTGGTGCTCCAGAAGTAAAATCAGTTAGCACAAGATACTTATACAAAAGTCTCAAATCTTAAACTCTACATGATCTAAACAATTTACAGGTGAGACTCGAGTATGCCATCCTGGAGCAAAACTCCTCTTCATCCATGGGCCTATTAAACTAGAAGAAACAAGTTATCTTCTTCTGAACAACAGTAGTAGAACAGGGATAGAATTATAGTTATAGACCCTGCCATTCAAAAAAAGAAGAGAATGGAAAGAAGAAAGGCATTACCAGTTCCAAACAATTATGAAATACAGCAAGGCAAATTCCATTAGGTCTCAAGGCCTAGGAATAATCTTCTTTCTCTTGAGACCTGCCCTCAGATCCTGAAGTTTTACCCTGTGGACCTGAGGTTTCAGCCACTCAGTCACCCTCCCTTTCTCATGAAAGATATCATGTGCTTGCAGCTGAATAGTTTTATTCATCTGCTTCCTGTCTATACAATGTTTAGGAGTCCAGTATCCTTTTTTCATTTTTTCCTCTTTGTCCCTTTGCTTAAACCAGTGTTTCTTTTGTAGAACATTCTCAAAAAAATGGTGAGTCTCCTGGCACGTCAGAGAGATTCACTTATTAGAAAAGAGTGTCCTCCACAAGTCTCTCTTGGATAATCTCATTTCTATTCTTGACCTCTGGACAGACACCAGAACCCACAAGCCACACTTCTAATCTCTGCAGCATTAGCAGAAAGATATCTAGCTATATTGTTAGCTTTCTCTCAGGAGCATACTTTCCTGACAGCGAATTTCTTAATTTTAATGTCTATGTTAGTCAGATTTCTGTTACTTTAACAAAATGCCTGAGTTAATCCACTTATGAAGAGAGGCTTACTTTTCAGAGAGGCTCACAGTTTCAGAGCCTTTAGTCCATGGTCGGTTGGCTCTGTTGCTTTTGGGTCTCTGGTGAGGCATCGCATTATAGGAAGGAGCACATGAGAGCAAAGGCATTCACTCGATGGCCAGCAGCAAATGAACAGCAGAAGACAGGGCTGGGGGTCCACTCTCCTCCTCAAGGGTACACAATGCCTAGAAGGTTTCCCACCAGGCCCCACTTGTTAAATGTTCCACAAATACCCAATAGCACTAGACTAGGAATCAAACCTTAACATATGGGACCTTGTGGGAAACTTTTCCAAAGCATAGCTGTGCCTTTTATGATCTGGATAAGCCGAGACTTTCCCAAATCATCACGTGTAGTTTCACTTTTGCTTAATAATTCTTCCCTCAACCTACCTCTCTCGTTTGACTATAAACAGCAAGAAACAAATCAGATTAACCTTTCATCATTTTGCTTGGAAATCTTTTCAACTAAATATCCAGGTTCATCCTTGCAAGTTCTGCTTTCCACATAATGGCAATTTCAAAGCCACTTCCACCAGCAGTGACCCATTTCCAGGTACCAAAATATATACAAACCCCCTATATCTGCCATTTTGGATTAAAGATCAGTTTAAGTGGCAATGCCCAGCTAAACCGAGTCAGCATGGTTCGGGGCATGGAAGATCCACCCAGGGATTGCCACCAAAACGGCGTCAAACGAGAAAAGGAAGGGAAGCCTGCATGCTGCCGAGTTTCCTTGGAAAGGCCTTACTCCAGAATCCTGGAGGCCTCCACCGCGCTTAACCTGTGGGGGCTGCCAGAGGCTCCAAACAGCATCTCATCTCCCGCCCGCCTTGCAACCTCGCACAAGCAGAGGCCGCTGAGCTTGGGCTGTTGTTCTCTTCGGAGGAGCTCGGGTCTTCGCCTTCACCTTGGTGTCATCTCCTGGCTCTCGGCACAGACCCTCTGGCCTTCAGTACCTTCCCATGGGCTTTTCAGCGCTTCAGTCTTCCGTGGCAGAATCCTCGGGAGACTCCTCGGCCTCCTGATGTAGACTCACAGGGGACACTGCCGTGGGTTCCAGGCCTTCGGCTGGACTCAAACGGGACACGGCCATGGGATCCAGGACCTTCGCTGGATTCTTTGGATCTCCAGCGCACAGACAGATCTCTTGCACTCTTCTGCATCTGACTTTTGGATGAATATTATAAAATAATCCTATAAATTATATGCCCTATATTAAACTATTCCCTTGTAAACTCTGACTACAGCACCTCCTGTAACAAATTATCACAAACTTAGTAACTTAAAACAACAATAATTTATTCTTTTACAGTTCTGGGGCTCAGAAGTCCAAAATCAGCTTCACCCCGGGGGGAGAGGGCTAAAAGGTAAATCTTTGCCTTGCCTCTTTCAGCTTCTAGTACCTGTATCCCTTGGCTTGTGGTCCCCGCTTTATATCTTTCTATATACTTCCGTCTCTGCTTGCATCACCACATTACCTTCTATTCTATAAGGACACTGCGATTACAGTTAGGGTTCTCCATGGAAGACAGGGCAATTTCTTCATCTCCAGATCTTTAGCTTAATCACATCTACAAAGTCCTTTTTGTCATATAATACGAAAAGCTTCCAGGGGTCAGAAGCTGGATATCTTTACAGATATTACCTGGCTTACTAAAGCTGGATATCTTTACAGATATTACCTGGCTTACTAAAAATCTCATGAAATTCCAAACAAGAATACTTGAGAGATTTGATGAAATCACTCTAAAGCTCTAGTGTTGTTATCTGTAACACCTAACAGTCGCTTTAAGCTTCATCTGTATATAATAAAAGTACCTTCCTTTGTTGAATTCAGGCCCATTATTGGACTAGTATTAATAACTATGGACTAGCTACCTGGTCTTATCGCTTCCAACTCTTCACAGCTTTCATGTTGCAAGCATAATTAATTTCCTAAACTGGAATCCAGGACTTAGACCTTGGTTCTGCTAGTTGGGTGCCCTGAAGTGTGAGTGAATTCCGAACTTCAGTACAAGGACTTTTCATGAAGTTGCATCTGTATAACAAGTATGCTTTTCATTAAAAGCACATATTTATGTGGGTGAGCCAGTGGAGAAAGGAGCTTATTTGGGAGCATTCTCTTAACACCACAATATCTTAACCATTCAGGACCTGAGTTTCCTCATCTGTAAAATGGGAGTATCATACGACAGTCCTCAAAGAGCAATTATGAGGATTATAGTACATAATATGTATCATATATTATAGTATATAGTACAATGCATGGTGAAATCTAGTGTAGTATGTGGTATATATAGTACAACACATGCAAATATCTCAGCACAGTGCTGGTGCATGGTGAAACTCCCAATAAATTTATTGTTTTATGACTTCTCAAAATTCTATAGACTATTCCATCCTGCCAACCCAATGAAATACAAGGCCCCCCAAGATCAATTTAGCCACGAACTATTTTTCCAGCTGTATGTCCTCCAGCATTCATTCCAGATTCTATCCAGGGTTTATTCCTATTTCCTAGGCTCCACCCTACCCACGTCAGGTCCCTCGGCATCAGTTCTTTCAGGTCTCTTCTCAAGCACTGCCTTATCAAAGATGCCTCTCTTTGTTTCACTCCAAAAAATAACACAGCCAAGCATGGTGATGGACGTCTATAATCCTAGTGCTTTAGGAGGCTGAGGAGTTTAAACCCAGCCTGGGCAATTTAGCAAGACCCTGGAGGGAGGGGGAGAGGCAGGGAGAGAGGGAGGGAGAGACTGCAGGAGGAAGGAGGAGGACAGAGGAGAGGAGAGGAAAGAGAAAGAAAACGAGAGACAGAGAGAGAGGAAGAAAGAGAGACAGGAAGACAAGGAGGGAAGGAGAGACGGAGGGAGGGAGGGAAGGAGGGAACAAAAAAGGAAGGAAGGAAGGAAGGAAGGGAGGGAGGGAGGGAGGAAAGGGAGAAGGAAGGAAGTAAGGAAGGGAGGAAGGAAAAGAGGGCTCGGAATGTAACAGCATAAAGGCCTTGGGTTCAATCCTGGCACCACAAAAACAAAAACAAAACCCACACACACTGATTCACTTGCTGGCAGCTTCTCAACCTCTTTTTCTCCATTGCATGCCATTGATAATACAGACATAATCACCTTCTGTGGTCCTGTACTAAACAATAAGCTCCACAAAGGTTAACATTCTGATATTCTGCTTTGCGCTGAAAGGTGCATGCGTCCTCAGCTCCTAACACAACATTTGGCTTGTAACAGGCACTCAGTAAGTATCCGTGTGGGAATATTTACACAGAATGTCTTGGTAATTCTGAGATGCTCTCTCTGCTTCGCCACCCACCAAAATTCTACTCATTCTTCACGCCCAAAACAAATATACTTTAGTGAAACTTATTCTCCCATGTAGAACTCATTGCTCTTTCAACTGTTACACGTTTTTAATTTTATTTAGATCTCATTTTACTCCATCTTATCTTTTTTTTTTTTTTTTTGGTTTTTCTCCAGTACCGGGAACCGAACTCACGACCTTGAGCTTGCCAGGCAGGCGCTTTTGCCACTGAGCTAAATCCCCAGCCCTCCATCTTATCATTTTTATTATTACTTTGGGTTTTGCTTTTACCTATAGACTGTGAGCGCCTTAACAGCAGAGTCTGCCCCCATGTTTCTGTCTTATTTCTTCCCATATACTGTGCCACCTTCTCCTCATTCCCTACTTGGTAGCATCACATCAACTCCAAGGAAATATGAGTAAACTTTTTCCATGAGATAAGATTTTATTAATATGACTAATTTTTATGATTGACTGTTAGCTAGCAAAATATTAACAAATTCTTCACTTTAAAGAAAACTGGAGAAGATCAAACCATTAAGGCAAAAAGCAACAGAAAGTATCTTTAAACGCCGGGTGTGATGGCACATGCCTGTAATTCCAGCAGTTGGGAGGCTGAGGCAGGAGGATCATCATGAGTTCAAGACCAGCCTGGGCTACAAAGTGAGCTCAAGGCCAGCCTGAACTGCATAGTGAGGCTCTGTCTCAAAAAGACAAAAAAAAAAAAAAAAAAAAAGTACCTTTAAAAAACCTAAGGTGATTGGTTAGATGACATCTTTTCATTCTACTGTAGCTTTTTATGATGTCACTGAAGCTACTATGACTGGTGAAGTTACAATGATCATCACTGTACATTGCTCTGTCTCTGACCAATTTTTTACTGTAGACATTCTTCCCAATAGAGAAAGAAAGATGTCTAATCGAGGACCATCCTTGACTTTTCTTCTGTTGTTTATTTTCTTCTTCAGGGATAGCTTCTGCATTTGTGATGGAACAACCTGGACAAAAGCTGGGTGGGAAATTTTTCCAGAAGAAGTTCACTACCAGAAAGTGAAGCCTGCTGCCTCTCAGTGTCTGCCTTATCCTCTGGACAGACTATTCTGCAGCTTTGCTAACAAGGATATTCTTCACAGTTGTCTACACCTTACTTTAATTTTAGCACAAGCTCTCTTCATAATCTTGTCTGTTCTATCTGTGCACTACCTGTGGATGAAATGGAAGAAACACCAAAAAAAGGTGAATTCTTGATTCAAATAGCAAAAAAAATGATTCAAATAGTAGTGATCATAAAATCTAGATGAGCTCAGATGGGAAAATTATCAGTTTCTTTAAAAAAAAAAAGTATTCCTTTTCTCATCCTTTCTCTCCCCGTTCATACCCTATATCTAGCATGGTGTTTTGCACATCCTGGGTGCTCAACCAATGTGCACTGAGTTAAAGGGTCCTTAAAATCATTTGTTCAACCCTTCTATTTCAGGTAACAAAACATCAAAAGAAAAAGTAGTGAGCTACAGTGCAAGATGTATAGGAAATTAAATTCTCTGTCCCCATAGGTAGGTCCTTTGCTCTTAGCTTCCCCATAAAGTGAGGACTTGAAACAAGAGACCTCTTAGATACTTCTGGATCTACCTAAGAAAGCTAAGTACAAAAGTTGGCATGTACCTTTTAAATGGACTGCAAACTAATTTCTAATGTTAGGGTAATTTTCTGGGAACTAGAGCTCTTAAACTAATTTCCCACTTCGCCAATAGATGGCACCATAGTTACAGGCAATCTTAAAAGATCATGGACTGAAAAGAAATAAAACAATCTTGACTTTTGAAACAATTTAGATATCATAAATGTTTTCTTCTTTTTTAAATGACTATGATGTAGAGATAAGGTGATCTAGGGATGGGTGAGGGGAGACCCAGAAGAAAAGTGGAAGTAAAACTGATTAAAATGCAATATTATGTATCACAAACATATACAGTAAAGATAAAAACTAAAAAATAAAATGACTGTGATTGACTTTGTTTAGTAAAGGAAAATGTTCTGTTACTATTCAGAATACTCTCACTATAGAAAGCATTAATTAAGTGTTTTTTGATGGTGACTATAATTTTATATTGTATAATATAGGAAAACATTTTTTCCATACATATATAGGCTACTTCTACAGTAACTTTTCCTTGTATAAATAATTGTTGTATACATTTTAGTCATAACATTTGTCCCATGTTCAGCATATAAATTTAAAGTGGACTAAAATAAAACCAATATCATTTGCTTTTCTCCTTTCAGCTGAAAAAGCAAGCTTCTTTAGGTAAACTTGAAAATGGTGTGAAAGGCCCATCCTTCTATGACGTTGACCAGATACTCTGCACACTGCTGACCACTTCCTCGATGATAAACAAGTACCTGGACCAGATGTCCCAGCAGTCTAAGGAAGTTAAGCAACAAAAACTGAAGATGTGTAAAGAACCGGCAAGAGGCAAAAGATTCTAAACATGCGCATACATAAATGTAGTTATATTCAGATAACATACGTAACTGTAGTTATATATGCATATATTCAATACACATACATAAATGTAGTTCATTCAAATACAGAGATTACAAAAGAAAGAACAGGACTTATCCAAGGATAAAATGGCTCTCTGGGAGCTTTGGTAATTTTTTTTTCCATAATCTTTACTGAAGTTTTCCAAGGAAGCCTGGGTTTCCTTTCAACTAAAGAAAGAATCCACACTTACTACAGTCGCTCCCAGAATAAAATGAAAACAGCTCACCTGGCATATAAGGATATAATCTAGCTGTAATTATAGAAGTAGAATTTCTCAAGGGCTGACTGCGTGACAGGTATTGTGTTAGTGTTTAACAGCACCTAATCTAATTTTCAAAACAACCTACAGCCATTATTGGCTCCCTTTTCAAGAAAAGAAAACCAATAAAGACAGAATTTAAATACTTTGTCTGAGGTCATACAGGTTTAAGTGAAGACACTAGTATTTCAACTCAGACAATCTCAGGAAGCCAAGTACTTAATCACTCGATTATTTCGCTTATGCTAAGCAATGACTTACAGCTCCCATAAGGCAATCTTGTCACTGTCCCCACCACGCCACTTCTAGCTCTAAGAGTTTGCTGGTGTCCTTTTCTCTTCTATTGTGTATTCAAGTCCTATCCATTCTCGAAGCCCCAGCTCAACCCCAGCACACTGACTTCATGTTCTCTGACAACCCCATAGCATGGACTGCCAATATGCCAGGGCTTACCCTGAATCATAATCTTTCTGACAGCATTATATAACCCCCCATAAATGCCCAGAAACCAAGAACAACCAATTGAACCTACAACAATCATGCCATTTTCAATAATGGGCATTTAATAAATACTTGCTAACAGCATGAATCGGATAACAATACAAAACGAAGGCAGTGAACTTTGTAAGTAGTAGTTTTTAAGCTGATGTTTGCATACATACAAAGTTACACAGGTATATCTTCCAGAAATCTCCTTAGACAATGCTTTACAGGTTTGCAGGCATGATACAAGCAAACTATTAGCAACACTCAAAGTAACACAGTTTTTTTAACTTTATATTGAAGTATAATTCATATATAGCAAGTAAAAACATTGTAAGTGTACAGCTCAAAGAATTTTCATAAATGAGTGTGTCTGTATGGCCAACAACCAAATTAAGAAAAAGATGATACATCCCAAAAGTCCCCCCATGCCATAAGGGTACTTATATTCTAATTGCTAACACAATCGATTAACTTTGTCTAAACAAATATTTTTAAAATCCCTATTACAGTGTTTCCTACCTGTGGAATCAAATGTGCTATGAAATACTTTTAAACATTTAATGAATGGTCCACTTTGCCTAAGTCTCTCAGAAAACAGCCTTGGAAACATATATTGTACACAGAGCCTTATAGAAAACGACTGATTGAATTGTTAGACCGTAGTAAGTCAATAAGCTTCCAGTATACACAGTGACTATTAAGTACACTGTTTAAGGCAACAGCAAAATAGCAAGGGAAAAGGCAAATTTTATCATTGCTAGTAGTAATTGTGGTATAAATAAAACATCTAGCTGGAAGCTGGAAATGTTTACGATCACTTGCCATCACACCAATCAGTTTGTTAATACCATATGAGCTTGCTTACCTGCCCAATCGAGAAATTCAACGCACTCAGTCTGCGAATACCGAGCAGCAACATCTCGAGCTTTCTCCTCCCGGAAGTTCAAAGCCTCTATATCAACATCCAGCTCAACTAGTGCTTTCAAAGTTTCCAAACGACCCCAGGCTGCGGCACAGTGTAAGAGCGTGTACCCTGACAAAGAGAAGGACGATGGTCTGGTCAAATAGACTAGCGATGGTCCCCAACTTAGGGTGGTTCCACATGATTTTTCAACTTTACAAGGGTGCAAGTGGTAGACATTAAGTCGAAACCATACTTGGGATTTTGCTCCTCAGCCTTTTCCAAGGCAAGCAGTATGTGGTCCAGGGCTTTCTTGTAAGCCTGGGTAGCAACAATGAACCACAGCATCCAGTCAGTCACACAATCACAAACATAAACAATGGGTATTCTCCGGTGTATGCTGTTGCTCAGCTATGAAGCGATTAGACATATTAGATGCATTTTCCACTTCCGGTATTTTATGAATCTATTGGGTCATGACCACATCATAATTCAAGGTAAATCTTTCCATGGTTTTAGGCTATTTTATGCAGTAGATCATAGTCACAATCAAATATTAAACAACTACTATGGGCCAGCCACTAACTGTTATATGTAGCAAACTCTTAGTTTTATGAACTGTATGGTATCAGAATTTTTATAATCTTCATCTTACAGATAAAATTGAAGTCCGACAATGTTAAGAAACTTGCCCAAGAAACCCAGCCGATAAAATGATGGACACAAGACACCAACACAGGCAGTCTGAAGCCTGAGCCCTCAAAGTCAGCTAAGAAAGATGGTATATGCTCCCTAGCGGTCACCTATTTTGGAAGAATTGAATCTATGATTTTAAGGAATTTTCATCAAACTCTCAAACTAGCATTGCTGTTAATATTAATACAACCATGAAAATTAACTACAACTGTGTATGCTTTGGTTTGGAAAGTAATCATTTTAATTAAAGCTGAAATAAAGACCTACTAAATTAAAAATGAATTTCTTAGACTTGCTGAGGTGACGACCATGAGATAGAATTGTAAAGGTGAAAAAATAAAGGATGTAGCTTTAAAATTGTTTCGGACTGATTCTATAAAAGTCAAATCCGCAATCACTGTATTACCTGTTTTGAGAGTCCTCAGGTAAACTGCGACTCCGGGACTGCTAACAACCCTACATTCACAGGACATGAAGCGGAGGTGGATGTGGGTGTTTATAGAGTGCCTTCACAGGATACTCTTCCACCTGCCTAGGAAGGAGACCTGCCTAATGCCTTGTTGTGTAATCTGCAACCAGTTCTCTCACACAAGAAACCTGTATAGTGGTGATGCCCTTGTGGCTCTTGTCTGACCCACGTCAAGTTTAAGCTTACTTGACTATCACCAGGCAGAAACAGCCGGGTGATGAGCACTGTCGCAGAGAAAGTGCAGTCTCGAGTAGCCCCTGGTTCTCCAGATGGAAGGTGCAGATTCAACACACCACATTAGGAATCAAGTTCAAACATTGTATCCTGAGGGTATCCTGAGGGTGTAATGAATCAAGAGGACCACCCTCTTTCCTAAGTCATGCAAGGCAGGAGTAAGGAGGTAGAAAGAAAAGTGTGGTGACTAGCAGTATATGTAAGGAATGTATTATATATAAACATATTATGTATAATTTTATATATATATATATATATGTGAATAGGATATGAATAACTAAATGTGTGGGTAAATGCCTGAACAGTTTGTTTTAAAAAAGAAGCAATGGAAAAGTAAGGGGTTCAGTGTTTTAGGCAGAAGAGCTGCCTCCAAATTTTCACCTCTGGCCACTAGCTGGTGTCGTTCTGGTATGATGTCGAGCAGGTGTCAAGGCTGACTGGGCGCTGCTTCTGGTATGAGAAAATTAAACATATTCAAAATGGGTGCAATATAAAATTATAATAATTCACCACAATTTCTCATAAGGATACACTTAGAACTCCCTTAACTGGCCAAAGAAGCATGTACTATATACTACCATAGGAAAAGTTGAGCAAAAGAATGAATATGTTGATCTACAGAGCACTAGGCACTCCGTGTGCACTTCATTTAATCCTTCCAGTAATCCTAAGAGGATAGGTATGATTAGCCCCACTAAACTGTACAATGAAACGTGAAGGTCACAGAACCTATACCTAACGGGGTTGGTTGGGGAGTAGGGGTGTGGCCATCAAGAGGAATTATGATACTTCTCACAGGAGGCTGTTACTTCGTGTGAAAGAACTGTTACAAAAAGAGCAAACCTGGCCTGTTATTTTGCCTTTCTATCTCACCATGTGATCTCTTCCTCTTGAATATGCGCCTCCTGCCAGAGCCCAGGTGAGCCAAAGCTGGCAGCATGACACTGGACCTCCTGAACTGGGAACTAAACAAACCTCTCTACACATTACTCAGCCTCAGGTATTTTGTTATTCAACAGAATGAACTGATACACTATGCGAGGTCATGCAGATGTCAGTGAGGCTTAACCATTCTACAGTGTATATACATTTCAACACTTGCATTGTACATGGTAAATCCATGTAGTTTCATCTTTCAATTAAAATTAACTGGGCTGGGAATATAGCTCAGCAGCACAAGTGCCTGCCTGGCAAGCCCAAGTTTGATTCCCAGTACCAAAAAAATAAATTAATTAATTTAATTTAATTAATTAATTAATTAATTTGAAGAAAAACCAAAGAATACTGTATCTATTTTTAAAAACCACTATTTTGGTTACTTTAAATGGTAAGCATCCCAGAATGCTAGAAATATTGTAATATTAACATCTGCCACTGTGATCACTATACCGCCTGCCATACCCATCTCTTACCTCTGTCTTTGCGAGGTAACGCTTAGGCATGCTCCAAGACTCAGAAGAAGCATGTGTCCCCACCCTACCCCATGAAACCTTCCCTGAACATGCCCAACACTTCCAGGTGCAGTTAGCTTATCTTTACTCTGAGCTACCGCTGTACCTTACCCTATCAGATAGTAATTATTAGTCTACATATCTGTTTTCACCTATATCATGGACTCCTGAAAGGCTGAAGTAATTGATCTTCATCAACCCAGTTCTAAGCACAAGGCTTGGTCATTCCTTTACCCTTAGTAAAGGTTTTCTGAGTGTATAGAAAGACAGTTTAAAATGATAATTAGTTCTGATGACACCTATGGAAGTATAATCAGAGTTCATAAGCAAAGCTTTGCCAGAACCAGAGAGAGTTCCAGCAGCAGTGAGCTGAAAATTCAGAGGCCTGTCTGTCCTTGGCTCTCATAAAACAAGGCACTTGCAAATAGGCCAAAGTCAGGAGTGCACAGAACTAACGCTGTAAAAGCAGTCTTGTGTCTCTCTCTTTGGATCAAAGTATCCAGTTCTTCAAAACTGCTATGGAAAGCAAAAGGGTATCCTAATGCAAATCTGACTCACTGATCACCCTAAAAATCATTTAGCTTCCTAAAAAAATCACTTACCTCCCTTTTTGTTACCCACAGAGAAATGGCATACATCTTCTTACTTCACAGAGGCACCTGCTCTGCAATCTTTAAATGTCTTTTAATTTTGGCCAATGGTTTCATGTACCCCCAATAGATTACTAGCATTCTAGTTGCTGGCCGAGTGTATTTCATTGCCATACTTAAATAATAGCAGTGTTTCTTTAATGAACAGAAAATATTACTACACAAATGCTCTCAATTAAAATATTTTTCTTAAAATCTTTAGGGCTAATTGGATATGATGGCACATGCCTATAAGCCAGCATTCTGCAATGCAGGGACAGACAAATCACAAGTTCAAGCCAAACCTAGGCAACTTAGTGACTTAGCAAGACCCCATCTCAAAAAAAAAAAAAAAAAAAACAAATGCAAGGGCTGGAGGTGTACGTAAGTGTGAAGGCCCCGAGTTCAATCCCCAGTGCCATAAGAAAACAAAATCTTCAGGATATACTGAAGAAGAAATTATTTTAAGAATTAAGAAATGAATATCACAAGTAAATTACCTAAAAATAAAAATTCACAAATAGATGAAATGGAGAGGGACATCACAAAATGGCTGACTAGAGGAACCTGTCACACGTTACTCCTTGTAATGGTTTAGATCTGAAATGTCCCCCTAAAAGTCTCAGTGTGTTCAGAGGTGAGGCTTGTCGGTGGTTATTGGACACTGGGGCCACTATACGCCTCTGTGGATTGACACACAGATGAGTCCACAGCTAGGTGTGCTGTAAGAAGACGGAGCCTGGTTGGAGGAGGTGCGTCACTGAGCAGGGAGCCTTGGGAGGGTGCGTTTCCCTCCCCGGCTCATTCTTTCTCTCTCTGCTTCCTAGTTGCATGGAGTAAGCAGCTTCCCACCACCATGCTGTTCCACCTTGCCGTTTCTGCCCTGGAGCTGGCCTGCCACGCACGGGCTGGGAATTCTGAAACTATGAGCCAGAGGAAACCTTGCCTGCTTTAAGTCACAGGTGTCGGGTATTTTGTCCCAGTGACAGGAGAGCTAACTAATACATCCCCCCCAAAACAAGTCCACAACTTATTCTTTAAACAACTATACTGTACTCTTCCGGAAGGATTGGGAGAGGGTACACTGGGAAAGAGCAAGCAAGTGGCAACACCCCTACAGCGTAAAACAACCCAAGATAGAGCACAGAAGGAAGAGCACAGCACCCTGCCTCTTCAACACTGACACTTGCTTGGATCGTCTTGGAGCCTTGATGGACTTCTTACAGGGAAAAGCTGGAGAGCCCCAGTAGTGCCCACTGCTGCTGCAGACTACACAAGAGACTCTCCCACATGCCCCAAACACAGTTTGGAGAGTACCCAAAATTTATAAAGCTGTATCGCAGCTGTACCCAGGAGTCCACGTTGTAAACCCTAGCCTAAGCTGCTACAACTGGGCACTATCTTGAAATGGACCTACTGTTACAGTACATCCTGTCCTACAGGCTGGTATCCACACTCTATCTCTATCCTGAGTTTCCAATGTTATTCCATCATGTTCACACATAGGCGGCCACAGCAGCAGGAATCTTGTTCCTCAGAGCCAAGGCCCAGAAGAACCAAGACCCAGCCTTCCAAATCCCTATGACAATGCACCCCACAGGGGACAGGCAGACTTGCTGAGGAAGCTGACACATGGCTAGTGGTCTGCATGGTTACAGCACAGAACTCAGTTTTCCGTTTGCTTTCCCTACCTCCCAACATGTTCAGGGATACGCTTCTGCGTGGGAATTTGCCATGTCCCTACGTGCATGCACGGGGGAGGCTCAGGAGCAAGTCCTGCACCTACCAGCCCACAGGCTGCAAGGCTGGCTGGGGAGAATGGGCTGAGGATGCACAGAAGAACACAGCCATTAAAACCATGCGGTAAATACAGCCCTGAGACAGACAACATACCATTGCCCCACTCAACCGGAAAGGCAAAACAGGACTCAGCATTCACACACAACAGCCTGTTAAGTGGGACTAAAAACATAATAGGTTCCCCCGCAGCTACCGTTCACTTTCCCTCCCCCATACCTGCCAGATTACAGTACTACAGGTTGTGAAAAGAAACTACGCATCCAAACCCCTCAAATGGACAAACCTTTTCGACTCCTTTCTCTTTTTCTTTGTCTTTTGGGGAGTGGTTTGTGGGGTTCTTTGAAATTTTTTCTTATAATTTCCTATTTTTCTTGTTTATTTTTTTGTTATATTTAGTAGTTTCAGTTTTACCTAATTCTATTTACTTTCCTTTATTCTTTAATTGGATTTTTATATCACCTTTTTCTCCTCATCTTTTTCCTTTTTTAGATTTTAATTTTTCTTAAATTTTCCCTTTCTCTTACCTTTATTTTTACTATAATTACTATTAAACTTCAATAATTTTAACTTTTTAGTTTACTTCTACTATTGCTGATTTCTTTTCTATTGTTAATGGTGATATAATTGGTTTTTACTGTATGTCAATTGTTTTAATTGGTTTTTACTGTATATTGATATCTGGTTTGTCTTTTTGTGATTGTCGTTACATCAGTTTGTCTTCTCTCTGACTGGTGGTGGGTATCCAGCCCTCAAAAGAAGACCCTCAAATAAAAGTGGAAAAGAGATCCAACCCAACAAATGCACAAAGCTCTATAGAGAAACACAAGAAGCACGACTTTTGTCATACTTAATATGACTTTTCACCAGTAACTGAATACAAGATATTGAAGTTGATACAATACCAAGCAATTCCAAAGCCTAATTCATAAAAGTATTCATAACTTCAAGGACGACACAAACAGCTTAATGAATTAAGGAAGATGATGTCGGATATTAAGGAACAACACAACAAAGAGATAGAGATTATGAAGAAAAGCCAATCATAAATTCTGGAAATGAATAAATCAAATCAAAAACTTACTAGAAACCAATAACAGGACCAAGCAGAAGACAGAATTGCAGGGCTTGATGGCTGAGGAATTATTACAGATACTAACAAAGAAAAAAAACAAATTATGCACAAAACATCCAGGAGTTCTAGGACATAGTTAAAAAGACTAAACTTAACAAATTTTTCATGTAGAAGAGGGTGTCAAGGAACAAACTAATATAATAGAAAATCTATTTTATGAAATAACAGAAAACTTCCCAAATCTTTGGCAAGATATAGACATCCAGATTCAGGAGGCATCTAGAATTCCAAATAAGCATGACCAGAAAAGAAACTTGCTACGGCACCTTATAGTTAAAATGGCAAGAGTACAGGACAAAACAAATACTAGCAAGGCTGGTAGGAATGGAGACTAGTACAACTTCTAAGCAAACTAGTGTAGAAATTTAAAAAAAAAAAAACTAAAACTAAGAATGCTATTTGACTCAGTTCTATCTCTTCTAGCTGTCTTTCCAAAAGAGTTAAAGACATCATATTACAGTGATACATGTATACTCACATTTATAACCGCACAACTCATAATAACTAAATCTTAGAATCAGCCCACTGTCCCATCAACAGATGAATGGATAAAGAAAATGTACACAAAATATACACAACAGAGTGCTACTTGGCCATAAAGAAGGATAAATTTGAGTCATTTTTTGGATGATAATGCTGTTCATTAATGATACTGAGGGCGTGTTTCTTTTATTATAAATGCATTAAACTAACTGGGGGGTAGTTTTGTCTTATTTTGTTATGTGGTACCGGGGATGGAACCCAGAGCCTTCACACTGAGCTACATCCCCAGCCTTTATGTTTATTTTGCAGTGGGGTCTCACTAAGGTCACTAAGTTGCCCAGGCTCCCACAGTGCTGCAATTACACACCTGGCTTTTCTTTAAGAGTAGGAAAATTACTGTGGAAAAAAAAAAAAAAAAAGAAAATTACTGGGGATAGGAATGGGGAATAGAAATAGCTCCCGAGAGACAGGAGGGATCCCAAATGGGTTGCCCTACACATCTGGTTTAAACTAGAATTTTAATTTTAGTTGTATCCTGCACGTGATCCTGTTGCGATTCAAACGTTCATAATTTCCACTGTATCTCCTGTGCTGAACAGATAATTTAAAGTATGTTTTTAGCTGGGCATGGTGGCACACACTTTAACCTCAGCACTCAGAAGCTGAGAGGCAAGAAGATCACAAATCTTGAGGCCAGCTACGTAGCAAGTTTGAAACCAGCCTGAGCCACATAGTAAGATCTTGTCTCAAAAAAAAAAAAAAAAAAAAAAAAATGTTTAAGTGTTTAGCCGCGCATAGTGGTGCACACCTGTAATCCCAGCACTCAGGAGGCTGAGGCAGAAAGATTGCTGTGAGTTCAAAGCTAGCCTGGGCTACAAAGTGAGTTCAAGGCCAATCTGAACCACATGGCAAGACCTTGCCTCAAATACCCAAAAATAAAAAAGTATTTGTTTCCAAAATTAGAGAGTATTTCAGAGTATTTCAGTCATTTTTTTTTCTTTTTTGCTTTTGCCTAATTTTATTTTGTTGTGGTCAGGGACAAAGACTGCATGCTAAAAATTATTTGATATTTGCTGAGCCTTCCTTTATGCCTCAATATATGGTCAAATTATTAAAATGTTCCATATGAGTGTGAGGAGAATGTATAGTTCTTATTTGCTGGATATGACTGTTTTACTTTGTATCATCACCATGCATCATATTTGCTGAGAAAAAAACTAGTTAGTGAATTAAATAATGACTGCTAAACCTAATAAATCTTCAAAAGAAAGATAAAAATATTATTATTTTGTACTTTTACTGTGTACCTATTTTCTATGTCCCAAGCACCATGATATTTATCTTATTTAATCTTCATAACACTCTCTAAGGAACGTATAACTATCATCTTCATTTTGCAGAACAAGAAACAGAGATTTATAAAAACAATTAGGAACCAGGCATGGTAGCGCACACCTGTGATCCCAGCACTCAACAGGCTGAGGCAGAAGGATTACCCTGAGTTCAAGGTCAGCCTGGGGTACCTATTGAGTTCAAGACCAACATAAACTATCTATATAGCAAGATCCTGTCTCAAAAAACTAAAAGAAAAACAAAAAAAGAAAGAAAAGAAAAAGATGAGGTAACTTGCCAAGTCACAAGTTAATGAAGAGTAAAGTCTGTGTTCTTAAATACTGTGCTATACAATAACAACAATGATATATTCACATGTGTATGTCATGCACACCTTCACACATATATATGTAAAGTACAAGACAGGCATATCACATTCATCCAACCATAACGATAGTACATAGTGTCAATAAATAATGATAAATAGTACTGATAAGAGATAAAAGACAAAATACCTCTGGCAGTTTTTTCATTCAGATTCACACCATATTTTGCCAAAGCTCTAATTACATCACTCTGCCCGGCCATGCAAGCTGCATACAACAAATTTCTCCCAACAATGTCCTCTTCCAAGAGTAGCTGCATGGCATCATTGTGATGAGGATTTTCAGGATCCTCAAAAATCTTCTGCAAACCTTCTACATCCCCTGTGAGAGCAGGTTTTATAAGGGGGTTCTCAATGCCTGTTTCTGCTGGTTCTTGAGATTCTTCTTTTTCTTCCTCCTGTGAGAAAAATAATGATTTTTCTGAACTGTCTGAGTCTAGCTGTGCTTCTGGCTCCATTAATTCCAAAAATACCTAAGACCAAAAAGAAAAGTTATAGAAATCTAATCAAACATATCAATATTTACTTATTTATTTATTCATTTATTTATTTATTTATTTGACCAGACCACTAACAATATGGATTTACTTGACGATAATAATGTTTCCTGGACATCCAGTGCACATAAATACACTGCCTAAGTATATACTAAAATGCTGCATGTTTGATATAAACAGCATATTCCACAGGAACAGAAGAAAGAGGTCAAAGTCAGGTAAATTCATTAGGAAAAGATTGGAAAAGAATGTTAAAGAGACTACCTGCCTCTGAACAAGGCTTCTCAAGAAGAAATATAAATGGGTCACTGGAACCAAATTATGAAGGCTTGAAAAAATCAGGCAGATATTTAGACAGAATCCATTCACTCAGTGATTCTGAAACCTTATTAAGTTCTGTGTAGGTATTTATGTAAATCACAAAAACAACAATCAAATTGATCTTCTGCCCCCAACAACTTACTATTTCCGGGAAGAACATATGACAGGCATAAAAACACATGTAGTGTAAGGTGACAAGTGGTAGGTATCATAACAGATGAGACTCTAGCGGAGTTTTGAAGGGACACAATTAACTCCAGCAGAATTAATCGAGTAAGTCTTAATAGTGCTCCCTCTGGCAGGACATGTATCAACTTGGGAATGATTTAGACAAAAGTACCAAGGTCTCTTCATATATACAAGAATATTGTGGTATCACTGTGCACGACAGCAAAACATCTTGAGGGGAAAACCAATGCTCAGGAAAGGAATATAAACTGATAGATTCATACAAAATGGTAGCCAACAGTTGAGATGAATAAATTACAGTGACATATCGTGTGGTAGGCAGCTTCTGACATGGCTCCCAGGGCCTGACCAGGCCTCCTGATACACATAACCTTGTGTAATTTCGCTATCTTGAGAATGAGTTGCACACAATGACTTGCCTCTAATGGAGACAATATAGCAACATTAATAATGGTATTCAGCTTCCATAACTGGTAACAACAGACTGGCTTTTGTCTTGCTAGAGTTCCCTCCCTGGCTGTCCTCATGTGCTGCAATGGAGAAGGCCATCTTTCGAGGCACAGAGGCAACTAGTAAGAAATAAAGCCCTCAGTCTAACAGGCTATGAGGAGTTTAATTCTGCCAACAACCACTCAGGGAGCTTGGAAATAGATCTAAATTGGACCTCGAGGTAACTGTGGCCCCAGGCAACAATGTGGTTGTAGCCTTGTGACAGAACCTGGCGTAGAGGATCCGGCTAAGCTGAACCCACATTCTTAATGCAAAGAAATTGAAATAATGAGTGGGTGTTGTTTTTAACCTACCAAGTTTTGGTGTATTGTTACACAGCAGTAACTAAAACATACAACAATGTGAATGAGTCTTAGCAATATCATCTGAAAAAAGCAAATCCAAAAGATTACATATACTGAGAAATATGTTGTCAAGCTAAAAAGCAATTGCATGGACTTTCTAGGAATATAAGTACATGCAACAACACTATTTTAAAAAAGAGAAGCAAGATGGAACACAAGACTCCAGATAATGCAGCGGCGGTGGGGGGCTGGAAGGAGGAAAAAATGCAGGAAATGGGACAAAGGGAACCATATATTTAGTAAAGAAAATGGCATTTAAGCTGACTCATAAAGAATGGGCATGATTTTGTCACTGAGAATTCACAAAGAATGGAAATCTAGATAGAAAACCTAAGTAAACACAGCAGAGAAAAATATCAGAAGGTATTTGGAGAATGAACAACTTGGCCAGTTTGGTGAGGTGTAGGCCATTCAAAATAAGCTTGAAGTACACCTGTAAGGAGTCTAAGACTGCATCAGTAAGTCTGACCTTAATTCTCTAGGCACCTGGCTGGTAGTTCCTGAAGCATTTAGCGCTGGGAACTAAGTATGTTTGAAGAAGACTGACCTGACAAGCCTAAGTCCCCATTTGGACAAATAAGATACCAGAGGTAAAACCAAAGACTCACTAGTTACTATAAATATCTGAATTAATAAGAACAAGAGCTCTGATTCTTTACTCATATAACAATATTTATTGAATTCTTTCCTGTGTGCCAGGCACTGTTACATCCCGAGAATTCACCAAGACAGAAAAGATCTCACAATTAGGGAGCTTATATTCTAGTAATTGGAATGGACAAAAAACAAAAGCATACAATGCGATCACTTTAGATGGCGGTAAGTGTTTCAGAGGAAATAAATAGGGTGAGGGGCTGGGGATTTAGCTCAGTGGCACAGCGCCTGCCTGGCAAGCGCAAGGTCGTGAGTTTGGTTCCCAGTACCGGAAAAAAAAAAAAAAAAAACTGGATTTAAATAAATAGGGTGAAATGTTAGAAAGTAACGGGGAAGTAAAGAGGAAAAAATTGAAATAGCAAAGTCAAGCAGCTGATACTGAAGTAGGCCTTCAGAGAATGACAAAGACAGTGAAGGCCTCAGGAAAATGAAATATCCTAAAGCAGGTGTAAAGGGCTAGATGACAAGTGTTTTAGGCTCGTGGATTCTACTGTCTCTACCACAACTACTCAGATCTGCAGCTGCAGCACGAAAATAGTCATGGACATGACATGAATGAGTGGGCATGACTGTATAAACATTATTTGTAAAACAGGCAGCAGCCCACAATCCATAGTTTTGTGACTCTACTCCTAAGGAACAAGTTTAAGAAGGGCTGAAAGAAAAGACTATCCTTTAGTTCTCTGGTGAAGAAAAGAAATGGGATGACACTGAAAAGATCATTGTAATATTCATTTTAAATTGGTAGATTGTTAGACTCTTCTCTCACTACTCCAACCCTATATTAACATCTTTTGTTCCATAAATGTATGTAACAGTTATAAGATATTGAAGTTAGGAATTGTTTGACTGTAGATAATAGAAAAGCCAAATAAGATTGACTTGTGTGTAGGGTTTTTTCCTCACATAACAAGAAATTTAAATATGAAAATTGTTCACCAGCTCAAAAATATAGATTCAAGCTATTTTTATTCTTCTAACACATCACACTTCATGTGCAAGACTTTCACTTTCATAAGTTTTGCCTGATGGTAACAAGTTAGCTGTCAAAAAAAAAGAAAAGAAAAGAAAAAGGCCAGGGATTATAGCTCAGCGGCACAAGCACCTGCCTGGCAAGCACAAGGTCCTGAGTTCAATTTCTAGTAACCCCCCCAAAAAAAAATTAGCTGTCATAATTTTTAGCATCAGGGCCAGGGATGTAGCTCAGCTGCATAAGCGTTTGCGAGGCAAGCCTGAGGTCATGAGTTCAATTCCCAGTACCAAAATAATAATAATAATAATAATAATAATAATCATCTTTAGCATCACATCTTTGTTCATGGCAGAAAGAAGGGGGATCCCCAAGAAGATTTACCAGGATATCAATACATTTTAAGAGGAAAATAAAACGCCATCTTTCCTAACAAGTCCCAACGAACTTTCAGTTCTGTCTTAAAGACCAGACTGTGACCTGAAAATACTCTCTTTAAGTAAAGGGGGCAGTAGCATTTCAATTTTCTAGCTTCCATATAAGCAAGGAACATGGGGAATGGGAGTTGGATTAACCAATCAACCATGACTCCACCATAACACTAGGACCAAATCTTATCTTTGAGGTTGTTGAATCCAATTTCTTCACCTTATAGAAAAAAATATAATGGAAGCTTAAAATATTTTTTGGTGTTTGGCATATAACTCTCCACCCTCTCATACGCACTCACGCATCTATCATGGCTGTGCCTCCCTTAAAGCATTGTTACTGCTGTTTTGGAAAATTCCTCTAATGGAAGATAAAATTAATTCCCCACTACAGAAAACAAAGAGGCAAGGTCCTCCTTCTCTATACCTCAGCACAAGTCTGGGGACAGGCACATGACTGGGTTCAGCCTAGTAGCCTTTCAATGCCACAATCTCGACTCTGGAATAAGGGATCCAAGGCCATGAAAGTCATTCATCACAGATGTTAGCAGAGCATGCTGCTCAGACTTCCAGCTATGGGAACGCGCTGTGCTTCCTGTGGTCTGACTCTCCGGAGTCCCCTTGATTCCTGCTCACTTCCAGCCTCTCAGTGACCACATGGGCCCCTGTTACAGAACTCAGATGCAGACTACGGGTTGTCTTCCCCGATATCTGATCTTCCCTTCTTTTTTTTTTTTTTTTTTTTTTTTGGTTTTTCTCCGGTACCAGGAACCAAACTCATGACCTTGGGCTTGCCAGGCAGGCTCTTTGCCGCTGAGCTAAATCCCCAGCCCCTCATCTTCCCTTCTTTTGGCCAGGTTTTTTTAAACCAATCTTGGAATGGATTATTTCTTACTCTTTCTTGCAATTCAACGTGGCTGTAAGTGCAAAAAGTAGATAATAAGATATAGATTGACTGACTGATCTTCACTACATACAGTATAACCTACTGATTCTATTTTTAAGGCTGAGTGCCACTCACCAAATCAATTGTATGGCCCACTAAATGAGTTGTAACCCACAACATGAAAAAAACATTAATTTTAAGTAATCACTATGGAGACTACACCAGTACCTCAAGGAGAAGGCCTCTAAGGACACTCTGTGTTTATGGCTAGTAACTTGGGTGACATATGTCCCAGTATAACCAAGACAGTTCAGTTACATCTATTCCACTGACATAATTCTTAATAGCATCTGCTTTTGTTCTCAAAAGTGTCCATTAGTATTAGACATTTGGTTACATTATTAATAGTGGCTGTGATCTTCTGGAAGATTTCTGCTAAAGCTAGTCATTCAATCATTGAGAACAGAGGCAGGTATGTTTGAAATGCCTTACCTCACTAACCCTAAAGGGGCTCAGGCATGAGACCTTAAAGATGCTGAGAAACCCCTATTTGTGTTTTGGAGGTATTCCTGCTAGTGGACTTAGAACAGCTTTTAATTTCTTTCATTCCAGGTTCCCAAATCCTATTTAGGCCAACCTACAAAACCACTCTCTTCCTAAAATTCTCTTGACTC